AATTGGGGTAATGTTGGTGCCATGTCCGGCCTTATACTGCCTCGCACAACTCTCTCACCCAGCCATCTCCACACCCCCGTTTTATTTAAAGAGTTGAGTTGTTTTCGCTAACAATTTAGTTCATGGTTATCATGGTTGGAAATTGGTAGGTTCTTTGGTTGGCTTAGTTTGGCTCAGCTCTACTCGACTCGACTCGACTTGCGTGGCATAAATATAAAATGCGATTAGCTTCAATTATGGCTATTATTTAGATCGTTTAAAGGACAACCATCAACATGGCAATAAAATATTTTTTCTTTTCTATAAATAAATGGGTCAAAATAACTGATAAATGATCTAATCATTTTCATAGGTAGGCATTGTCATTTATTTTCTGAATGAGGTCTATAAATTGCTTACCTTGCCGTTTTGCGATTTATTAAAATGACAACAAAATTGAGAGCAACGCTTTTGTTAATTTGATTTTAAGGGTAGAGCCATTTTGTGGGACTAGAGACTATTGCAAGCAATATAATGTGTATTGTTGTTTTATATTTTTAATAGAAATAAATTAAAAACTACCAAACTTGGCATTTCAATAAGAAAAAATCTATTTGACATAAAATATTTAGGACTTTTCAATCCAAGTCAATATTTAGGATATATATACAGGAATATCAGGCAAACTAATGTCATTTGGACAAAAGCTGTCCTCTTCGAGAAACGAGATTTTAAATTTCGACTTTTCAAACGACTTTTAATACCAATTGATTGGTATTTTGCTCCGTTTTATACCCTACAACACATATTGCTTTTTATACCCTACACCACCACGTACTACGCCTTTGTGACTTTGTTTGTAACAGGGAGAAGGAACCGATATAGACCCACAGTTACTTTAGAGGAACTTCATATAGTCACTTTCTGATTCTTTTAATGCAGGTCGCATTTATTATCCAATTGAGATGAAATTTTCCACACATTATTTGTTTGGTCCAAAACGGACCCTATTGAAATTTGCGATAATCGGTTCAGATTTGCATATATCTCCCATATACAAGATAGGATAAAGAAAATTGCAACAAAGTCCAACGCCATAATTTTATTTAAAATTTTAGTGAATGAAAGCAAAAAATGTCGGAAATAGCATAAAATTTTAGAAAAAGTTTAGATTCGTTACCCGAATGTTGCTCTGCAGCATTTTGGCCCATTCCCGACGAAGCGCTTGCTTGAGGTGATCGACACTTTGGTATTTTTTGGTGCCAACCTTGCTTTCCAAAATACTCCAGACACAATAGTCCAACGGATTGGTATCCGGAGAATTTAGTAGCCGAGGGGGAGAGCGACCATCGGCTGTTATGGCGACCCACACCATCACCATGGCCGGCGCTTGAGTTCTGGGTGCACATTTTCAGCTGATCTCTTTGGCAAGTAAACACGATCATTTTGCTTGTTTACAAACTGCTGGACAACGAATGTTTTCTCATCGGAGAAAACCAAATTCGGCAGTTCACCACTTTTGGCTCATTTTTCAATATTGGCCGAATGGAATATTGCAATATGTTCAGCTCACGAGTAATTTTTCGGCCACTGCTACGCTGGTTTCGATCAAGTCGCTTCTTTACTTTTCGAACCATTTTTGCTGATGTTGCTGTTTTCTTCCGTCCACTTCCTTGACGTCGAGCTACGCTACCAGTATCACGGTAACGAGCGATGGTACGAGACACAAAAGATTTGTTCACATTTAAATGTTGGAGTGCTCTATCGATAGCCACTTGTGGTTTTCTAGCCAAATATAAAGAAATCACACTATCACACCTGCATTCCATCAAGAATAACTTTTTTCTGGAAAATTCTCACCAAAATGCTTTTGTACGCTTGTAAACAATATAATGAGCTGTCACTAAAAGAATTTTAACAGAATAATAGAATTATTTAACAATATATAATATAGTTTTGAACATAGTTCCCATATATACTGTCCAGGTTTAGGTTTATAACATCAGCCACAATTTGATCGATTTGGTACATTCTTCACATACAACATAAAAATTCAATAATCAACTTTAGTGAAAATTGAATAAGATTAAGATATAGCTTCGTCCTCCTATTTCATATTTAAACTACTCTAAATAAAGTTAAACCCCTCTAAAACAGTTAATAACAATCATCGTTGTTACGATCATCTTTACATAAATTCCTAATATAAAAGTTTATTTTTTATAAATTAGCATAGTGGTGTAGGGTATCATAAATTCTGCTCAGTCTGAATTTGCACTTTCTTCACTAGTTTTTTATACCCTCCACCATTCTATGGAGGGTATATTAGCTTTGTCATTCGATAGCGATGCCCGTCTGTCTGTTGTAATCACGCTATCTTTCGATCGAATTGAGATAAAAGGCTTAAATTTTGCATACATGCATAGTTTACCAGTAGGCAGGTTAAGTTCGTAAATGGGCCATGTCGGTTTACGTTTTCGTATAGTCCCCATATAACAGTATCTTCCGATATTCGGTATTTTCATGATTTTAGCGACATTATTTCAAATTTCGTACTGGAAGATCCTAATGGGTACTACTACAACTATGACAAAATTTTTGTATGCAGGCCCACGACTTCGTAAAGTCCCTATATAACGGTACCTCTTAAAAGTCGGTATTTTGATGATTTCAGCAACATCATTCACCGGAATCGTTCCAAATTTCGTACTGGAAGATCCTAATGGGTACTACAACCTATGACAAATTTTTGTATGCAGGTCCACGTCTTCGTATAGGCCCCATATAGTCGGTATTTCCATGATTTCAGCAACATTATTTACTGGAACTATTTCAAATTTCGTATTTGAAGTTCGTAATGGGCAAAGTTCGTACTACAGCATATGACAAAAAGGTTGACGTCTTCGTGGTAGTTTTCAATTTTTTTTTTTAAATCAAGTACCTTCCAAAATCTTTTAACCAGATTACTTGCGATTTAAGAATATCTGGTTTTGGGACCTGTATAACTCTGTATTCAAAATTTTCGTATTACAATTTTTAAAATAGATTCTATTTTTGGTGATAGCAATGGAATTTAGGAATGCTTCATATTGTGAGTGCTGCTCAATTATATTTGGGGGTCTCTTACTCACAGAATATAACAGCATTTCAAAATTGATATTTTATGGACCCAGAGCACCGATGTATTATTCATGCTCATCAGATTGTATAAAGCAAAATAAAATTTCTCGTAATTCATTTCGATTTTGTTGTTAAAAACTAAATACTCTCGTATTTATTTTTTCTACATTATCGGAAAGACATACATTTTAGAGCCTAGAAAATGCGTGTAGATCTTATTTAATGAAAATATAAGCGCTGCCATCGTTTTAACTTATTACGATACCTTTTTTCAGTCTCATTAGTTATTCTTAAGAAGCTTATTATTTCTACTTCCGCAAAACTCTTATTCTTCCATGCTTTTTCTATTTGTTTACAAATTACATATTCTACGCTTTGATATGTTCGTATGTGCGTCTGTGTGTGGGTATTGGTATGTTTATCTAAAAATGGCTTCTGCATGACTGTTATATTGAGTTTCCGTTTTATTTGAGAATCTAACAATTTTACAAAACGTTTATATTCTTCTTCTTCCTCTTGTGTAAATCGACTACGCTCGACACCTTCGTTCGTTTGTTCGTTCGTTCGTTGAAAGCATTCATCAGCCTTCAAAAAAGGCTTTCATGGCCATCATGTGAACGCTTACTTACCATTATGCTTTGCGAATATTTCATGAGTCCCCCGGTTAGAGGGATTCTTTCGTCATCAAATATCATCCATGTCGCCCGACAGCAGCCATAGCAGCAGCAGCCGCATGCTTGTCCTTTTATCATCTGGGGGCTCTGGCTGCCAGGCAGCAGCCTGGACCCAAACGGATGAAAGGACAAGCAAAAATTCATTAACGACTAACAACAACTATTTCGCTTGCCCGAACTAACTAACTCAAATACAGACACTCTCTTCCATTTGCTAAAAATAACAAAACCAACAAGAACAATAATAACTAGAACAACAACAACAAATGAAGAAAGAAAACCCAAAGAAATTACAAATTGATTTCTTTCTTTTTTCTATTCTTCTTTTTTCTCTCTTCTCTCTTTCTCTATTTCTATGTATGCTTCTCTTTGATATCTATTATATTGTATATGTGCTGTCGTCATATGTCTCTTTGGTTTTTGTTGTATATCTCTTCCTTCTCTCCGCCGTTTGTTCTACTCATGCCACAACGAAAACGACAACAACATTAACAACTCTCTCGTACAACTTTGTGTTGTGTGTGCGTGTGTCGTAACTGCTGTGATATAAATTTCATATCCGTTTCCGTTTCGACTATTACAAAATCGTTTCTTTTCTTCTCTTTCAAACGTTTTTTTGTGTGTGCGTGTGTGCGGACAACAAAACAAACAACTTTGGTATCCTTGTTCTATCAACATACTCTAAATGTATAAATGACTACATATCCATATACGTGTGTGTGTGTTTATTGTTAAAAACCTATTAAAAATTTACACTCACACACACACACGTCAACATACATACACTCATCACAATTGATGTGATCAATGTTTCTTGTACATATCTGTGTGTGTATGTGTGTCTCCGTCTCTGTCTTTGTATCCCCATTTGTGTGTGATTTATTTCGATGGCTATATTTTAAAAATGAAAAAACAAAAACCAACAACAATGAAAACATTAACAACAAAACTACACACAAATGCAAATAACTACAACAACAACTACTATATTATGTTACTAACAACAATAATAATATTTATCCACAAAAACAACAACAAACGCTGCAACATTTCTCTCGAATATCAAAAAATTCGAATTGTCAACACTGTTTTCTTGTGTCTCTGTGTGTGCGTTTACTCAATTTGCTTATAATTCTCACTCTCCCACCAAACAATCAATCAAACAAACAACCAATATCAATATTCCAATAATAATAGCGTGGCACAATACAACTATACAATTTACAGAGCACAACTATGCCCATACTCTCGCTGAACTCGCATAACTTACCCACGGGCACCAACAGCTACTCGGCCCTGGGGCTGAGTGGTACCGGCCCCACCGCAGGCTTGCCGCCATTGGGCGCCTCTCTAACGCACCCCTCAATACCCGGCCTGGATACGAGCGCTCTGCTGGGTACCAGCGGCTTAACTGGTCTGGGTACCGGTCTGGCTGGCACATCTTCGCTTTATGGTCTTGGCAGCGGCGTCAGTGGGTTGGCTCCCGGTTTACAGAATACCTTTGGTCCACCGCCTTCATTTCTCGATGTTGCTTCGTCCGCATCATATCCCTTTACATCGGCTGCCCTGCGCAATGCTACCAAATGAAAATGCTGGAAGAGATCGATATACCGTTGACACGTTACGGCAATCGTAGTTCGCCTTGCTCACCGATACCACCTAATACCTGGGGCTTGGATGAATTCCAGGACAGTCTGATGCACAGTCGAAGTGGTTTAGCTTTAGCGCCATTGGATTTAGAAAGTAAGTACTTATGTTTTTAATTGCTAGATGTTGTTTTAAGTCTACCCAACACCCGAATATAGCTTAAGCATTTGTAGATTTGAGTAATTTGGTTGCTTGCTTGTTTAAAACATTATCCTTTTCCCTATTTTTTTTTTCTCTTATCATCTTCTTTATCCTTAGCTCGCAATCATAATTTGAACAATGGCATCAGTGAACCTCAAGTGGATATGTTGGATATACCTGGCAAAGGACGTTGTTGTGTATTCATAGCCCGTTTTCCATATGATCCACCAGAGTAAGTAATGAACATTTTTAATAAGCCTATTTTTTCCATAGTATGGAAAAACACAGATTTGTTCATATTCACTCTGGAGCAAAACCTGTTCATAAGCAGGATTTCTCGTGGAATTGTACTGCCGAGTCATTTCCGTTTGAAAACTTAGAGTGGGAGTAGATACACTCTAAATAGAGCAAGAGTTTGATCTAGGAACAACGCTATGATAAAAAATAAAGAAGTTCCTCTCATAGTTAACTTAAGATAAGGAGGCATACCTCCGAAAAACTCACTCGAATACTCGAGTGAGTTTTTCGGAGGTAATGTATTGCAAGGGAACGGTGAGTTTGCTAAACGAAAGCTAATAGGCTATCATTTGCTAAGTTGGTAAAGACTGGAAACAATGATCTTCAACGTATTTGTGTTTGTTTCGTGGAGAATACACATATTTAAAAAAGAAAGAAAGGTATCACAAAAACTAAAAGAGCAAGAGTAAAATCCATTCCGTGCGATTTTTTTCATTCACTACACGCATACACGTCATATGTGAAATATTCATGCAAATGGAATGGATATCGACACATCCGATTGAATTCAGCCCAAGTAATTCAAATTTGGTAAAAATCGGTTCAGATATAGATATAGCTTCCATATATATACTCCACAACAATGATATTTGAAATACAACAGATTTTCCCTCTGTCAAAGTTTATCGAGATCGTTCAAATATATCTTTATCCGATTTGAAGTTTATTGTGCGCCAAAGGGTTAATATCAGCCCTAATGGAGTTTTTGCACATTCTCGAAGAAAAACAGTCGGCCCTGAGAATTTTTTTTATGGGGACCACTTTTTGTGGTAATATGGGTACTAACGGGTGTGGGTACTAAAGGATTTCCCAAAAGGGATTAAGGATTTAGAAATTACTAAATGTAGAAAATCGATATTATTCTCGTGAGATCGCTAAGAACTGGGATTTTCAATTTTTTCAGAGCCATCATTTGATCACAGGTATGGGGAAGAAGGAAATTCAGCTATCAACGTACTACAAGACATTCGATGAATGGATAAAGCTAGAAATATGAAGTTTAGTATAAATTTCACACATACATCTATACAGCACATATGTACAATTAAACTATAGAACTGGAACGATAGAACCAAAAATCTGAAATTTAGTATTAGAGTCTCCTTGGCACACAAGACTACGACAAAAATGTGTTTTTGGATACTTGAAGTAAAAATATTGGAGATGTGCTTAAATGTACTATTTTTTAAAAATTAAAACCCGGGTGTTGGGACATTTGTGCAAAAAAAAAAAAAAAATCGAAAATTACTAAAGACTACTACATATTGCACTCTAGGTAAAAAGCGTGTCAGATTTTTCATGTGGGTTCATTAACATACTAAAAATGCACGAGGAGTAATAAAATATATTAAATAAAATGCAAATGGTTATAAATCTATGAGAAGTGTTAAAAGATACTAAATATAGTATAATTGTATTATTGATGTTATTTTTCGTTGTTAGAAATCACTTACCATATTTGTTCGAACGTGCCAAAAGGTACTACTATTACATGAGCCGTTGAAGATAGGATCCTACATTTGTTGGAAGATTTCTTGTTTATGTGAAAAACAGTGACTTTTGAAAACACGTGTTAATAAGTATTCGAATATATTCGTGCCGTTAGTTTTTAGCGTTCGAGAAGAAATCGCATGTGGATCGTCGTTAAGTTATACCAGGGTGGAAAAGTCCTTTAAAGAATCAATTGCAAACATGTTTGAAAAATACCAAACATCAAAAACAATAACTCCCTCAGTTTCGGCGACTATCGAATGTGTGATTATTCATAAAAGGGTCATAAGAAGGGAGGCCTGGGCCCCTCCGAAATTATTACTTTTGTGACATTTATAGTACATTATATATGTAAAATTAATTACATATAAGATACCTCTCGAAATTCAGTATTTTGATGATTTTGTTTGACAACCTCTCTGTCAAAAAGTTGGCTATGAAGGTCCGCCTCTTGGAATAATACAACGCAATATTTAACATTTAAAGACAAAATGTGCCTCAGCAAGATAACGGTTTGAGACTCCAGGTCTCTTTGGACCAAATCCGTTGCAGGACAGTTGGAGTCGATCTGGCGATGTTCGTCCGTTTGTCTGTCTGGCTGGCTGGTGCGCACGATAACTCTGGAAGGGAGTATCCGATTTGGCCCAAACTTGGTACATCCTAATATAAATATCAATTAGCATTCGATTTTGCTCCAACTTTGCAAATCCTAATGTTTTCATCAGTGTTAGGTCAGGTGCGAAGATGAATAATATCGGTTCACTCCATCAAGGACCTCTCCCACAAAGGGTCAAAATGTAGGATAATTATAACTTTATTAATATGTGACATAAGAGACTTCAAATTTCACACTTCACAATATTTTATTACCATAATCTGGTATGAAGATGGGAAATATCGGTCCACTCTTTCTAGTACCTCCCCACAAAGGGTCAACATTTTGAATATCCATGAAGCTCATAAAACGCGAAATTAACATCCGATTCCATTCAAACTTGGCACATCCCAACATTTATATCAACACAAGATCTGTTGTAAAGGTGTTAGCGATCGGCGATACTTCTGGTGCCTCCCCAACAAACGGTCAAAATTTTGAATAACAAAAACGATCATAAATCATTTTGCTAATGCAAGAACTGTTGTGAAGATGATAGATATCTGCCAACCCCGTCTAGTACTTCAGCCACAGGGCCACAATTTCAATACATGTATCTGTCATAACTTGCGAAACAAGAGAGCGATTCCTTACAACTTGCTATCTAAATATTTCTTTCAACTTTCGCAACCTACCACAAAGAGGGTCAACAATTTGAATAATCATAACAGAAGTCAAAATATATTTAAATAATTTAAATCTGTCAGCAAAATCGACTGATATTTCTTAATTTGTTAGTTTTTTGACCAAAATTTATATAATTATCCTTCACATAATTTTTAGGGATGCCGAAGGTGAACTCTCATTATGTGCTGGCGACTATCTGCTTGTTTGGACCAGTGGTGAGCCACAAGGTGGATACCTTGATGCTGAGTTGTTGGACGGTAGACGAGGCCTGGTGCCTGCTTCATTTGTACAGCGTTTAATAGGTAATATTTTGAAAATATTTCCAAAAATTAAATGAGTTTCTCAACCATAATTCTTTTTATCCTTCATATTTAAACAGGCGACGATCTCTTAGAATTCCATCAAGCTGTGCTGTCCACTTTGCGTGATGCCGAAGACGGTTCCATGCAATGTGATTCAACGTCATTGCCCTCATTACCACCACACAATCCATTGCTCACCCACACCCAAGAGGATTTGGCCAGGTTAAGTGAATCCCATACAGATTTGGAACATGATCAGGATGACATAAGTGATAATGGTAAGATTTTCAGCACATAAAACATGTTTTTGTATATTTTTTTTGATTTTTAACACCTTCTAACACCAACAACAATCATTTTGTTTATTGGAATTGTTGTTTTGCAAGTAAGAAGATTTTTTTCAAGTTATATTTTAAATGAGAGTAAGCTAGATTTTCCACGGATTTGTAGGGTTGTTCTTCGTTGATTTTGTAGCGAAGCTTAATTATTTGAAAAACTAATATTTAATTTCTTCGTTTCTTTTGTTTAGTACCAGCCCCAAAACATTTAACTCTGGAAAGGCAACTGAACAAAAGTGTACTGATCGGCTGGTCGCCTCCCGAACCCTGTGGCTACAATCTCATCGACAGCTATCATGTCTACGTGGATGGTGTGCTTAAAGTAACCGTCAAAGCTAATGAACGCACACGTGCTCTTATAGAGGGCGTGGATTCGAATCGGGTGAGTTGAAGCACACAAAACATCACTCCAACATCATCTAATCATAAAATAATTTCTTTTTCCTCCTTTCAGCCTCATCGCATCAGTGTCCGTAGTGTCACACAAAATCGCCAGCAATCCCGAGATGCCGCCTGTACAATGATCATCGGTCGTGATACCTCACATTTGGGTCCATCATCGGTTCGTGCTACACACATAACGTGTTCATCGGCTGTCATAACATGGCTGCCAGCCAACTCCAATCACCAGCATGTCGTCTGTGTAAATAATGTCGAAGTGCGAACTGTTAAACCGGGTGTCTATCGTCATACCATAACCGGTTTGGCTCCCAGTACACAGTATCGTGTTACGGTCAGGGCAAAACATTTGCGCGCTCCCGGTGGCTCGCAGCCAGGACAGGGTCGTCCACAAGAAGAAGCTCCCGGAGCCTATGCCGATTTCCGTACATTAACTAAGGGGTTACCGGATCCACCACAGGTAAGTGAAAGGGGGGATTTCGTCAAATCAAAAATATTACTATAGTTTGGCCACAGTTTTACACGAATTTCTTTAATGGACACGAGGACATATTCCGCTATAATAACGAACGCAGGAACAAAATTCCAATAGAATTCCACTGACAACATCTTTTAATACCCTCCATCATAGTATGGAGGGTACATTTAGTTTGTCATTCCGTTTGTAACACCTTGAAATATACATTGCACCTCATATACATAAAAGTTCGACCGGGTCGAACTTTGAATACCCTCCACCATTTGAAACGAATTCGGCAATTTAAAAAAAAAAAGATCTATACAAATCTTAAAAATTCCGGATATAGCCGTTATATTAGGGTCTAGGCGACGACTAAATAGGCAACTTTTGTCATAAGCCATTACAATATTCGAATGCGAAACTTGAAAAAAATTGGTGAATGATGTCGCTAAAATCATCAAAATACCGAATGTCGGGATGTACCGTTTATGGGGGCTATACGAAGACGTGGACCTGCACAGACAATTTTCGGTCATCGGCTGTAGTATTCATTACGAACTTTAAATACGAAATTTGAAATAATTCCGGTGAATAATGTCGCTTAAATCACCAAAAAATAGGGAGGTACCATTATATGTACGTGGACCGATATGGCCCATTTTCAATACCAATAGTCCTGTAGATATATTTCGCTTGGAAGCTAGAGTGATTTCCACGGACAGACTGGTCTAAAGTGTATATTTCAAGTGCTACAAACGGAATTAAAAACTTAATATATCCTCCATACTATGGTGGAGGGTATAAAAAGGTGTAGTGAGGCCTAATCCGACCTTTCGCATTAAAAGTCAAATTTTCTAAATCGATTGATCTATGTTGGGACTTGGGTGTAGGAAATTTTAGCTGGATGTGACAGTATTCGTTTGGTGGATCAAAGCCCAAAGGGTTTTGTGGTTTGAGACCTATTTTTAGTTTCCTAAAAATATAAAACTTTAACCCTAGTCAAAGGTTTCCCTATATTTTAATCTATACTTCGCAAAGTCTAAGATCGAGCTGGAATTTAGTAGAAACTTTTAAATCATTGACCTGTTACACTTTTTGATATAGGCCCCCATATTAGGGTCAGTTTCGATTTTAAATATTTTTTACGATTTAGTCATATTTTATTCAAGTTTATATGGGCAATTGAGAACTCTGATCGGATGTTAAAGAGTTATAGATTATTTATGAAGACGTTTGGGAAGGTAGGTAATTAGGTGTTCCAATTCGGTATTTTGACGATACGTAGATAATCAGGAACTTGTCATTGTCATTGCCTCCAAAAATAAGAAATCTCAAATTGTAATATTTTTTGCTTTTGTTTTTTTTTTCAGGAAATTCAACTTGAGGCTGGTCCTCAAGATGGTACCATTCTAGTGACATGGCAGCCAGTTAATAGGCCCACATCATCGGGGCCTGTAACCGGCTATTCTGTGTACGCTGATGGTAAAAAGGTAACCGATATCAATTCACCCACGGGTGATCATGCTCTGATAGACATTGGTAAATTGGGTACATTCAATCCAAGAGCCGTGACTATACGTACGAAATCGCGTGACTCACAATCGGCCGACAGTGCACCCATACTAATACCAAGTGAGTAACATTTACGAAAATCAATATGGATTCATGTGAAATAATTTTGTTATCCCTTTACAGATTCTGTACGAAATGCAGTGGGCAGAAGGGGACCAAATCAAATGGGCATGGGCATGGGTCCACAATTACCCCAGGGGCCACACGGTCAAATGGGTATGCAGCAGCAAATGATGGGCCAGGATCCGAATCAATATGATCCAAATCAAATGCATCCACAACAACAGCAACAAGGGATGCAACAGCAAGGAATGCAGCAACCCGGCCAACAACAGCCAGGACAACAAGGTCAAGCGGTAAGTGTCAATAACAACAATAACAACACCATTGGCATTTGTTACATATTTTCAAACGAAAACAAAAAACAACATCTTTGTATTTTCCCCCAAGAAAATACACAACATTTCAATATCAATCAACTCTTTTCAAAAGTCTTACTCTTATACTTACTCTTATACCTAATACTACTACCATTATTCTTTCTGTGTTGTCAAAGTTATTACCACCACAACTACATACATCCAAACTGTAAAATACTTCTTTACTAACCTTTAAAACTTTTTTAAAAAAACGAAAAAAAAACTTTACAAATTTCCACTAAGAAACTAAATGCCCCACCCTGTTTAACAGAATTGCTGTACATGTCTCTCTCTAACTTTTTGTTGTTTTCAAGCACAAGTTGGCAACTCTCTCTCTCTCTCTCTGTAACATATGTTCAGCTTCACTACACTGTACAAAATAACATTGAACATTATCATTTCATACAATATAAAACAAAACAATATTTAACCATTTAAAGAGAAAAAAAACAACAACAAAACTTTAAATAATTCCACAACACAGCTACAGTTACAACTCTTCTTTCACAAACATAAAACTTGATTCCATTTTGATTTGCCTGCACTTTCTACTACTTCTTGATTGTGAAAAAATACTAAAATTAATTTCATTTGCAATAAGTGTTTTACCTCACTTAAAACGTTCCGGTTTTCTGGAACACTGCCACTACTAATATGCAAGACCAGTTCCAAACATACTTATATATATTTTTTGAATACTAACATACGTGGGCAGAGAATTGAGGAAAATTGTATTGGTGAAAAGGCTTTTAAACTTTCAGGACATCCTCGCTTATCCTTCTCATTATTTCACTTATCCTTCTCCATTATTTCATTTATCCTTCTCATTCTTATTTATAACATTTAAAAGAGATTAGGTTTTATTCAATTTAAACGAAATTATGTTTATTGTGCTTTGCAATTTGGCGCCCAATAGTTTATGGCAAGTATAGCTTAGAAAAAGAAGAACTCGTTATATCAGAAACCAAGTTTACTGTACTGAATTCACTTATCTAAGCCTTCTTTTTCAAAATGTGTCTCATCCATAAGAGACTTATACATGGCTAGTAATTTAAAAACCTTCATGGCGTTTCTGATTTTAAAACCGCATTTTGTGGCGAATAGCAAACAAATGAAGAGGGTAAACAAATATTACAGATATAACTACCGTCATTCAGTCTCCCTGTAGTGGGTGATAATCTAAGAAGCACAATATCTTTAATGAGCTGAAATAAAATGATTAAGTGAAAACATCTTTTTCTATATCCACTGTGATGTTATTAGAGTTTGCAACATTTGAAAGTTTGCCACTCGAGACCGTATTGAACTTTTTGAGTTCGACCTTCAGAGCTCAGGCTTGCTCGATTGTAGCGGGAGTGCTCGAAGAGTAGAAGTTTTACAAAAAATATTAAATCTCCGAAAACTGGTTCGAATTCGAGAAAAGAGTGAAGCTGGCTGGAATAAAATATTTATGTTTATTCTATTTCATTCTTAGAGTAAACTCTCACTATATTTCGAGTGATTCGACTCGACCGGTGTCGCGCCCTACACAAAACAACACAGTGAAGAGTACACTCCATTAAAACTCCCACTCTTCGAGAAATCCCGCACGAGAGCAGGTTTCACTCCGAGTAAAAAAAAACATATTTGGCGTGTGGAAAGTACACATACATCCAAATGAAACAACAAATTGAGTATACTCAATTTTATCCTCACGAATTCGATTGAACGTGTTTGGTTTTGTTTTCTTTTTTGCCGTGGGTTAGAAAATAGCAGAAAAACTCTCTATTTCGAATGACTTGGCTCCCATTTAAGTTTGGGGGTAGCGTCCCCACAAAACCAAAAGAGTGAAGAACAAATTCTACATAAAACTCCCACTCTTCTAGAAATGCTGCACGAGAGCGAGTGTCACTCCCGAGTAAAAACGAGCAAATCTGGGGTCTGGAAAGTACACATACCTCCAAAACTCTTCCAGAAATCTCGCTCGTGCGTCTATTCCCGAGTGAAAACGAGCATATCAGAGCTTTGGACACACTTACAAATAAAACAAAAATAGAGTATACTCAATTTCTTTCTCTCATCAGCAGGAGTACTACTCCATGTTGATTACAAGCCGCTATCGGTACCAACGATGATTGATATGAGGCTAGTTTCCCAATTACCTAAAGTTCATTCTTAGATGCGTCGTCACATTGCATCTTTGTTAAACCACGTTTTCAAAGAGATCATCGCTCTTTCGTTCAGAGAACTGCACAAACGTTCTTAAGATCGGCTACAGGAATATATGTTCGAAACATTATCACAGTTTCTTTTTTTCTTTCCAAATATTTTATCTTCCAATAATTGAAGTGCATTCTTATTTCTTAACAGAGACCAAATATTAGTTAAAGTTTGAAATAAGCTTTAATAGTCATGTCCTACTGATGCTAGAGTCAAGAATCGAACCACATTATGTAAATATATGATAAAATTGTGTACGACAGTTATGTCCTAATCATTTTTAATGATTACCCGAAAGTTAATGGAGCGAGCGATACGCCAAATCGAAAAAATATACAAAGTGCCAAATCTTCCAAATAAATAGCGCAGAATTTTTGAGGAATTATTCTTCCCCAGTATCGGAGATCGTTGCGTTCGAAGCACTTGCCTCATCAAAGACAGTTGATTCTGCCAAACACATCAGATTATTCGAGAACACTATTCACAGGCCAAGTTGAAAACAATTTTATTGGTGTAGAAAATCATGCGTGGAAATCCGCAAGTGAATATCGAAGCCTTGTAGGATGAAATATGAGATCCACTAAAGTGACGTGAGGGCCATCAACATTTTAAGATCTGCATTGCAATTATGGGGAGAGATTATTTCCTTTTTCAAAACGGATATAATTCCCATGGAAAATTTTTCGGTCTACTTAATCCCCACAGCTACTTGCAAAAGTTATAAAGTTTGGAAAGCTATGAATAGCGTAGTCGGTGTTGAACATACCCCATAGAGGAAAACTTCAAGCCACGTCCACAAAAAAAAATATTTAAAAAAAACTATAAAGCTTAAATACATATGGGTGGAGAAAATCTCAATTTCATGATTTTATCACTAATTTCTTCGGAATGCTAAGAGATACTAGCACATTTGGCACAACCTTAGAAAGGCAACAGTATAGGCTATAATGTAGTATGTAGATCTTAATACCCATACTGGGTCCATTTTTAATCTTTCAGGGTTTTCTCAAAAAGTTCCGGTACAAAAATACCATAATATGACCAATTGTTCGATAGGTATTTCCATAGCTTACATAGTTTGTACATATAAGTTCTGTAGAACCGGATGTTGTATCCGAACTTTGGGATCGAATAACCAGGTAACCCAGCATTTCTCACACGGAAAAATTACTTTGCCGTTATGACCGAAAAATGGTCACACTCCCCTTAATTGTAATGGGTCATGGAGGATTATGAAACGGCACCACTTTCTGTATTTATATGGTAGACGGAACTCCCACGCCAGGGGTGTACTCATTATAAGGAGTGAAAGGTTCACAGAGGTCTTCTATCAAGAAAATAAAGGAACTACCACCTCATATTTCGTATTGGGCGCCAATTTATGAAAATTTGCTACTCTGTACTTAACAATTTACGTGGCAAATCCATCGGAAGGACTCAAAAAGGTATATCGTCCGTGTTATGCTTAAGTGTTCCATAACATATTTTTTTAACTCTTCGAGATATGTGTGATTTTTTAAAATTGATCAGTTTTCCAAAATCTGTTTTTGTTTTTGAGATATCTAGGAATAGGCGAAAAAAATTGTAGAAGCTTTTAATAAATATATTTTATACTTAATAATATAAAATAAATAAAGCTTCTGTTGAAAATTTGTTTAATTTAGAATTTATATTCTCAAAAATATAAAAAAATTTGGAAGAATAAGCTTTTAAAGAATTCTACATCTTTGGTTTTTCTAAAGACGCTTGTCTGATATGTTCCAAGGCTAGTTCATGCATTATTCTTGAAACGAATATCAAAATTTAAAAGTTGAAATGAGTTTTTCTCAAAGTAAGTAAAGAGGTTAATGATTTAAAGATCAATTATATTTTAACCCATTGTTGATGTCACAAACAAAAATTAACAATCTAAATTAAACAGATACCAATACAATTTTCTCGAAAATATTTTCCCACGTTCTCCAATTCTCACACTTCTTACCTAAAGTTATTACTAATACACTTTAAAATCCAACACCTATAAAACTGCATACACAAATGAACACTAGAATCTTTTGAATGAAGATGAATTATTTGAAATTATTGTTTTTTTTTGGAATATAAGAAAACCAAGAAGGCACAAAAAAAACTTGTTTTTTAAGAATCCCTTTAAGCGATTACACTTTTAACGATTATTAGAAAAAGTATTATTTAAATTAACTTTTAAATTTAACTAAGATGTATGTAAGTTTTATTGAAAACCATTCAGTCCCAGCCTTACCCAAGCCCCCACTTTGTTTTGAGCCAAGGCGTTATCAACCAATTAAAAAATTGCTTGCCGTTCAATTTTATCTCCTTCTTCTTCTAAATCTTGTGTTAAAAACCGAATCCTAAAAGGATTGGTTTGTTGTGGCATGATTTATAATTGAAAGATCTGTTAAAACGATTATTAGCTGCAAAGCATTGAATCAAAGTTTTGTTTTATAAATCAAAAAAAAAAAAAAAAATCTTTTCATTGTAACGAAAAAAAGAGAGTTGTTTATCCCCCATTTTATTTAAAGTTACCAAAAAATTAAATTAAAAAAAAAAAATTACATCATGACATTTTGTATATTTTGTAAATGGTTGAAATTAAAACATAAATTCCTACTACCCCCCTCAACTCCTCAACAAAACCAAAAAACAAAAAAACAAACAAATTCATCTGTGTACAAATGCAGGCCGACGGAAGTTCTGGTTTATTAGGAGGCATACTCGGCGGCCTCTTTTCCAAACAAACACCTCAGACTCAAGCGACTCAAAATGTTAACGTAAGTCTTAACTCATTCATCACATTTCAACAAAAAAACTTTTTGCTCTTACCACTCTTTTAAAATAATTATTACAAATATATATTTAAAAACATATTTTTATTCAGAATATTCTATTTAAACGATGTGAATCGTTTGAAAATATTTTTATTGTTTGTAACTTAGTGACAAAATTTGTTCATATTTTTTTTCTTATTAATGAAATGCTTGATACAATATATAATTACATAGAGATTTATTTAGTGCTATAAATAATATACATATCTATTTATATTATATTCCTTTATAAATAAAAATATATAAAATAGTTTTAGTTTGTAGGTTAGTTGAATACTTTATATCAATAATTTAGGATTATTATTATTTCATTGCCCTGAACAGAACTAATCACAAAAACATATTAAAATGACAGCAGTTTTCATTATTTTTTAAGAATAAGAAATATTTTCTCGAAGAATTTTCTTTTCTGAAACATCAATAGTCCATATGCATTTTGTCCTATATTTATAGTGTTATATCTTTGTAACAATACAGGGTGAGATAAAAAACTGCAACAAAGTCAAACGCCAAAATTTTTACATTTTTTTAACTTTTATTGAATGAAAGCAAAAAAATGTCGGAAATAGCATTGAATTTTAGAATATGTTTAGATTTGTTCGAATTGGTCAATTTTGGTACGAATTATGGCCTTCAAACGGCCAATGAAACCGTCACACCCTACCCGAATGTTGCTCTGCGGTATTTTGGCCCATTCCCGTCGAAGCGCTTGCTTGAGGTGATCGACACTTTCGTATTTTTTAGTGCTAACCTTGCCTTTAGAGCTAACCAGACACAAAAGTCCAACGGATTGGTATGCGCAGATTTTGTTGGCCATTGTGCGCTGTAAATGTAGCGAGGAATGTCATTTTGTAAAATTACTTGGGTGGCGCGTGCTGTTTGAATGTCCGAGATCTGCGGCCAAAATGTTTGCGTGCCCAAGGCTAAAAAACACCCTCCAGAATATTTTCGCAATAATATTCGGCATTTATTTTGATGCCTCGGCCGATTAATACGATCGAAGAGCGGCCCACACCATCACCATGGTCGACGCTTGAGTTTTGGTTGCCAACCGAAGGTGCACATTTTCAGCTGACCTCTTTGGCAAGTAAACACGATCATTTTCTTTGTTTACAAACTGCTGAACAACGAATGTTTTCTCAACGTAGAAAACCTAATTCGGCAGTTCTCCACTCTCGGCCAAGCGAAGAAACTCTTAAAATGCTGGAGTGCTCTAACGATAGCCACTTGTGGTTTTCCAGCCAAATATAAAGGAATCACACTATCACGCTTGAATTAAAAATTTTGCGCACATCTGTGTTTACCAGTAGGCAGGTTAAGTTCGTAAATGGGCCATGTTTCCACGTTTTGTTTTATTTTTATTTAAAAACCACAAAATATATAAAATCAAAAAGGGTCCAGCTGTTTAATTACAAATTCGGTGTGGAATCTACATGCATCACTGTATTTTTATGCGGTAAACTCCAAAGTAGCACGTGCATCCAAAAAGGCATTATTTACACTCTGCATTCGAACAACAAAAATGTGGATCAACACTCATTTTCCAAATTCAAATTTTTATACCCTACACCACATAGTGGTGGGGGTATTATGTCTTTGTGCATTTGTTTGTAACATAGAAAGGTTACTTTTGAAGATCTACATAGAATCACATTCTGAGTCGATTTATGCATATCAGACCGGTCGTTAGTCACGTATTCTTGTGAAAAAAATTCAGGTCGCATTTATTATCCGATTCAGATGAAATTTTCCAAATAATATTTGTATTGAGATTGGTGATATTATCGGATCAGATCTAGATATAGCTCCCATATATCTTCCATCGAGTTCGGGCTACTTGTGCACCAAATGGCCAATATAAGTTCAAATTACCTGAATTTTGGCACATCCAACCGAATTCAGTCTAGAAGCAAGTGCATAAATGTTAAGAAAATCGGTTCAGATATAGCTATAGCTTGGACATATATGTTTCATCCGATTTGGGTTTAAAATCTCTCACACGCGTAATATGCAATCCACAAGAATGATATTTGTTGCTAGATAGCTTATGGATCTCGAAAATATCTTGTCAAATTTTATCGATTTCGCATCTGACCATATATATCTTTATCCGATATCAGATTTATTTTGCACCAAAGGGCTAATATAATAATAATGATTTTTAATATCGGGCATCAGATACTGCTCGAAAATACTTCTGCCATATTTTAACGATATCGGCCCAGATCTTTATACAGCTATAGCTTCTTCATCCAATTGGTTATTGCTCACCCTTTAAGTAATATCAGCCAAAATTGAATAGATTTTTTTATATTTAACCGAATTTTACTATTCGGTGAAACTCGGTCCGGTTATCTATTGCTCCAATAAATATTTTATAATATAATCCTTATTGAAGTCATATCATGCACCATACAGCAACGTTATTTGGGTCATATTTGGTATGATCTACTTCACTTAAATTCCCAATTTAATTTTTTTTTTTACGAGAGCTCTACTAAAAACGCATATTGGTGTAGGGTATCATATAGTATCATGATCATGTTAACGGAGAAGTGGAAAAATATATTTTTTTTTTTTAAATATTCTCCATCACCATTTACAAATATCTTTTTGTGATTAGTACTGTTAAGAAAATATATAAATATTAATTTTTTCCCCAAGAATTTTAAAATTATTACTGAAAAATAGATTTTTCCTTCATCTTTCGAAAGCAAAAATAGAGCATTAGGAATAGTGAACACAACAAACAGTTAGGTCAACATTACAAACATAAACATCATTTCGAAATTAAAGCTGTTTCTCACAGTGTACATGAACATTAAAATCACAACACCACATTAACAATTACATTCCATGTAAAAAATACTCTCTCAAGTACACTGTAAAAAACAATGGTTGTCTTTGTAACCTAACCAAACTGTCATTTAGGTTACACTCACTCGCTCACTCATAAACTGACCTAACTCTATGTGTATCATATTCAATGGCTTTGTACTTCTCTTGATTTTTATTCGTTTTGTTTTTATTATTTTTATACTTTGCCGTTCAAATCGTATCCGTTTGGGCTTTGTTTTTGAGTTGAAAACTTATTTTTTATTTCAAAATACATATGTATATCAAATTATGTGTTTCCTGTTAGCTTTGTTCTGCAAAAATAAAAAACAAATACCCTATATACTATTATCTACCTACCAACCAACCAACTAACCCAACCCGCCTCCAAACCCAAGTACATAATCAGACCTACTACTTACTACCTACCAGTGCTACTACTAATACCCACCCAATACCCAATTATGATTTCTCTGTTCCAATACTACTACCAATACTAAATTCATATATCGTTTCGTTTTATTTTCGAAATATTTTAACCCCCCAAAACTAAAATCCAATTCAATACTAAAAACAAACTTTACTCTTTCATGCACACACTGGGACATTTGTGGTGTCAAAACTTATTTTGATTGAGCTTTCCGTGAAGTTTGAACGACATGGCAATGTCCGCAGTGTGATTCATCTGGATGTGGGTCTCAGAGCTGTTTTTAGTTTATGGCCAGAACGTGCGCCCGCAAATGTCCCAGTGTGTGTGCGCCTGTCTCTATCTCTAACAATACGAATACGAATTGCATACCATGCCAGTTTCAAAACTACAAAAACTTTAAACTTTGCATTTGAAAACATTTGAAATTTACAAAATTTTGCTTTACAAAACAAAAAACAAATCTTTTCCAAATCCAAAAAACTAAAATTAAAATCAATTTGAAAAATAATTTAATTCGGGTTTAAACCATTGAATTGAAACTAAAGGGTTACCCACCGGGCCAGCAGCAGCAACGCATGATGCGGCCACAAGGACCTCAGGGTATGCAGCAGCAGCAACAGCAACAACAACCGTATGGACCTCAAGGCCCCATGGGTCCACAGCAGCGTTTCCCCGGCCAACGAGGACCTGCCCCTCCGGGTCAAATGCAACCTGGTGGACCCATGCAGCAGCAAGGCATGATGCCAGGTCAAATGCCTGGGCAAATGCAACAGCCCGGCATGCAAGGTGGCCAAATGCAGGGTGCTATGGGCCTTCGAGGTCCGCTCAACCAACAACAGCAGCAGCAGCAACAACAACAACAGCAAATGCAACAGCAGCAACAAATGCAGCAGGGCCAGCACATGCAACAGGGCCAACAAATGATGCCCGGCCAACAGGGTCTCACGCCCCAACAACAGCAGCAACAACAAATGGCCGCACAGAAAAAGCCACGCTATTTCGTTGCTATGTTCGACTATGATCCAAGCACAATGAGTCCCAATCCAGATGGATGTGACGAAGAACTGCCATTCCAAGAGGGTGATACAATAAAGGTAAGTTACGCAACGACAGAACTGCTTCTTGGCTAGAATTTAGTTACAGCATTTCTTTTCTGTTTTCGGTTCGTTTTTGTTTTGAACTTTTGAAAGAAACAAGAAAAGAAATCAAAAATTTATATTCCAAAAAAGTTTGCATTGTGTGCAAAGATCAGAAATTGGCTTGGCCTTGGTATTTACTTAGTAGACATTGTTTGTTAGGCTAATGAAACACAAAAAAAAAAAACTAGAATACGCCTTGAGTTTTCTTTGTTAGAAGAAAAAGTTAAAAACCCCAAAATCAAATTTACAAATAAATAGGCAGTATTTTCGTTTGCCAAGAGTTTTACTTCCTACACCTTTTGAAAAATGTTCTCTAAAAACAATAGAATTAGTTAAACAGTTTGCCATTCAACCTTTTGTTAATATGCCGATACAATATCAAAATTACAACAAAGTATCGCAAAATTTTCCAAAAAGTACTATAACCTATCACAAATCAATATCTACAATTATGCTGACAAATTTTTTCGTATTCGGTATATTTTAATATGTGCCTCGCATTCCATGTATAAAACTCAACAAAAAAGTAGGTGATCGAAAGAATCTTTTTTATATACCCCCCACCATTCATAGTATGGAGGGTGTATTAAGTTCGTCATTCCGTTTATAACTCATCGAAATAATCATTTTAGACCCAACAAAGTATATATATTCCAAGACGATTTAGCCCTGTCCATCCGTATGTGCGTCTGTTGTAATCACGCTAAACGAATTAAAATAGGAAACTAAAATTTTGCACAGATCTCTCATTTGTCTGCAGGCAGATCAAGTTCCAAGATGGGCTATATCGGTCCACGATATCGTATAGCCCCCATATAAAGGTACCCCCCGATATTCGGTATTTTGATGATTTTACCCACATTTTTCAACGGAATTGTCTGAAATTCTACACAAGGTATTCTTTGTGAGTACTTTACCCCCAGACATAGATATGTCTATATAGGTCGACAATATCGTACACCCCCCATATATCGGTACCTTCTGATATTAGGTATTTTAAAGATTTTGACAGAATTTTCAATGGATTTTATTATTTTGAAAATTTTCTAATTCGTTCCAAATGGTGGAGGGTATTCAAAGTTCGGCCTGGCCGAACTTACTGCTTTTTTACTTGTTAATATTAGCTTCACGGTCTGAGGCCTTATGTAGACATTGATACATTATTTTGAATGAGATTTTTAACATTTCTGTATAAAGCGACCGAAAAACCCTTTCATTCAATTGCTTAGCGGTAATATCATCATGGAATATTTTCCCAATCGTAAATATTGCGAAGACAATGTACATGGTCATATTATCGACTTAAAAAATGGTTTCTGCTTCTTGTACCTTCCTCAAAAATGGTCAATATTTTCAAGAAGGAAAATAAATCTTTTTTTAAGCAAAGAAAGTTTATCGTTTCACTCCTTCAAGTAAATCCTCCACAAAGGGTTAAAATTATGAGAAATCAAAATTTTCCAAAGAAAAACTTCTCAGATCATAATGTTTGTATGAGGCGATAGGAGACAATCGAGTTTAGCACTTCAGGTAACCCCAACTTAAATAAAATGTAAAATGTGTCTCCGTTTCTTTTCAACATTTCTATAAATGTTGAAACTGACATAAAGATGGGACACATAGATCAAGTCCTTCTGGTACCCCCTCACAAATATCCAGCACCACATTTTTTAATGCATGAAGGCGAAAAAGACTGCTACCAAGAGTATTCCAATGCGATGTGTTATTTGGGTATGCAAAGAAAAACTTCAAGTTTTAAGATACGAGTATGTAAATGATTGCTTGTTTTTTCATAATAATGAAAAAGGTCTGTCTTTACTAATTTATTGCCTTTCAGCCAAATGGCTTTCACGAGCAGCCCTTGAAGCCAACAACAAATCATCAACTTAACACGTATCCAATCCTAATCAAAATCTTGCTTTATAACTAATTTTTAAGTAAAGTATCAAAGTAAGAATTATTGTATATTAAATTTCATTGAAAAAAAGTAGATTTTTTTTTTCCGAGTTCCGAAAATTTTCTTATAATTCACTGTACAACAGGCAGTTTTGGTTGTGGAAAATTCCAAGTGAACTTGACAGTACTCGTTTGTAGATTTAACCCCATAAAGAGTTTATGGTTCGTAGGCCAAACATTGTTAAGGCCCTTACATAGTTTTTACCATATTCCCAGAGACTCTTACTCTTTGAGATATATTTAGAAACTTTTAGGAAAGAGTTTTAAAATTTGACAGAGATTTTTGGATTATATCCAGATTCATTGGTACAAAAAATTTATCAAAAAATTAAGGAATATTTTCAGGGTTTTTGGAACATTATTGCAAATATTTTTTTTTGATATGCAATAAAAATAGAGATTTATTTTCTTTTGTAACTTATAGTGAAATTTAATGAAGAATATATTTGTTCTTGGCGTTGTCCTTTTAAAATGATGCTTTGTTGGAGATATTTTGCCTTAATTTTAACCCAAAAATGTATTTTTAATATTTATAAATTCCTGATGTTTATGTAAGATTAAGACTTTTGACGACTTCTGGAACCTAGAAGACCCCTTTTTGACTTCCATAAGGGTTAATATAACAAAACATTACTGTTATTATTATTGGAAATATTGCCAAAAAATGCAGGGGTTCAGAGGAATCTTAATCCGAAAATTTCCAAAAGTGTGGAAGAGCCCTTGCCCCTTCTGTTTAGGTTACTTTGCGATGTGAACTTTCAAAATGCCGATACACGTGTTTTATTTCTTTAGTTTTATTTTCTTAATCTGCTGGATTTTCTCTGTAATTATTTTTTGTGTTACACAGTGTAATTGTCACTTCAAAAGTGACAGCCATCGAAATAATGGCTAATACTTGTGGGAAAATCCTGTGCCTTTTCCACAAATGGTACAAATATTCGAAAAATCAGGCTGTGTCGCCGAAATTGGAAACTTTACAAACATTTCTCTAGTTCTACCTTCGTAAATAGTGATTTTAGATCCAACTTAGATCAGATTAATGTCTGGTAAATATTTATTTGTGAATCTTTTATTTCGTTACATCTAACCGCTGCATGTCTGTAAGGATTTTTACAGCAGTTGGCCATAGGTTAATACTAATTAGTACTATTTTTATCTTCTTATATTCGAAGCATTCGTATTAAAACAGTGTCAAGATGACACCTCTTCAGGGGTTCAATCAATATTTGTTCTTTGGACTTTTTCAAAATCTTTGAATGTTAGAATGGATGTAATTATGCCCTTGAATAGCCAATGAGTCACCTTAGGACCAAATCACCATTTTGAGCTTATTATCCTCCATCATGTTTATTATCTATGAACCTTATTAGCTCTATATTGGATTTGATTTTTCCAGTTATGATTCCTATCTAAAATTTGCTATGTTCAAAAAACAGCAAGAATCTAATAGTTTTGAATTTTTTTTATCGATTTCATAAAAGGAACATCTGTTATCGTAAGAGGGTTAACCTTAATGATAGTACCAATAGTCCTTCCTCTGTTTTCCCGATAATTGTCTGCATAGGTGCAAGCTAATGGTAAATCTCGAAACTCGCATTTCTTATGATTTTAACAATATATTTTCCAACTGACTTGTTTAAAATTCTGTATATACATTTTGAAATGGCATTCACGTCTGGTGACAATATTTCCCGGCATTGAGATTTTTATGATTTTTCCACACTCTTAATATAAACCGAATCCTGTAGCAGAGAATTTTCTATATTGGTTCAAGATTTGGTATATCCTTATTTAACATTGTCTCCCTTTATGATCTAGTTTCAAAATTAAGCGAGTATGAATATTGAATCTTCCGATACTAAAGTTTCTTCTAAAAGTTTTCTTTTCTGGTATTGAAAGTTCGGATCGGCCAAACTAAGCTTGTTTTTAATTGTTTACATTAAACATTTTCAATATAAAAACAAAATGTTTTACCTTCTTCCAAAGTCGATGATACAAATTCGCCAATTCACCGGCGCTTGGTTCTGCCTGATATTTTATTGTTGGGAGGTCCTCTTTAATGTAGGTTTATCAGGTTCCTAGATTATATTCAACATTTTCTTAATAAATTTTAAATTTCAAAATTTCTTGAAAAAGGTGTTGGAAGAAACTCTTTCACTCAATCAAATAATTAATTACTCTTAGCAAGCACTCACACATTCTCAGTAAATTTTTGTATGATCCTAATTAATATTGGAATGAATGTTAATTTGATGCAATAATTAATGTAATGACATGAAGATTGTAGTTGATCAGCCATCTGCCAAAGTAAGTTCGAGTGCCCCGATCGAAATGATAATCCAAGGTAAGATTAGCAATACTGGACAAACCCTCAAACCAAAAAAGAAAAATAAAAAGAAAAAAGGAAATTAATAGACACCTTGTGGTCAACCCCGAAAAGTGTTTGAACCCGCTTTAAAAGAACCGCATCTAATTGAGCAACTCAAGAATCTGTAATAATTGGTAGTTTAAATATTTAGTTTGATCGGTTAGCTTCACATAATTCGATTTACAAACAATGTAATTGATTCCATTAAAAAATTAGTTGTGTTGTCAAATCATTAGAACCACCCCCGCCCCAAACACCCCAAATATTTCAATACAAAAATACATCCATCACCACCAATACCACCCACCACTACTATTACCACTGCCACTCCACCACCAAATCTCCCCCCGAACCATTCATCCTGTCATCTGTCCATTTAGTGGTTAGTAACCCTAGATAGAATAGTTGTTGCAATGATGATAATGATTTATTCCTATCAGCCTACCTATATATACCTCTATACATATAAACCGATAATATATAATATAACAAATATGCCTATATAACCTATTTAGATTAGAGTATTCTTGTTTTCGATTGTTCACCTTGTTCTGTATTTGGTACTTGTGCATCATATGTTTCTTTCATTCTTACCAAAATAAAATCAAATAATCAAATAAAAGTGTTCCAATGTTGGAAATGGCCCTTTCCAAAGGCTACTACCAACAACAGCAACATCAACAACTTTGATAACCGTTATGTGGTTTTGGAATTGCATTATGGTCTCATTTAATAATTTTGTATTCTCTGTTTCCATTCTCTCTCCCCCATGATTTAGGTGTATGGCGACAAGGATGCTGACGGCTTTTATTGGGGCGAGCTGCGCGGTCGTCGCGGTTATGTTCCCCACAATATGGTGACGGAGGTTGATGATGGCACCGGCCAAATGGGTCAAATGCCTCAACAACCTGGCGGCACTGCACAAGTTATGCCCGGTCAGGTGGGCACACAACAAAGTATGCGCAATGTTAGTCGCGACCGTTGGGGTGACATATATGCGAATATGCCGGTCAAACGGATGATCGCCCTCTACGACTATGATCCGCAAGAGTTAAGTCCGAATGTGGATGCGGAAGTAAGTATTGTCAATGTTGTTAAATGTATTTATGTATTTGTATGTGTATGTGTGTGCGTATTTATTTAGCGTAAGGCTGCTAAAATGGGTGGAGGAGGAGGAGGTCTATTTGGGGGATTTCTTGATAGTCTTGTGCCAACATTTGCCCAAGACATTCCTCGACGTCGTAACGTGAGTTTTTTGTTGTTGTTTTCCAATGGAAAATGTTAAATGTTTTGGAAATATTGGAATATAGCTTTATCTATAGAGTATAAATGGCTAGATCCATATAAGTGTCCGAAGTCTTCGTAATAACTTGATTTACATATCTACGAATTTATTTAAATTTTACAGTACCTATATTTTACCCATTTAAATCAAACAGGTTTTATTTATAATTATTTCCGAATTCATTAAAATTTTTAACGTTTGTAAGATTGAAATGTACTTTCCTTTGGTTATACAGGGTGAGATAAAAACCTGCAACAAAGTCAAATGGCATAATTTTTACATTTTTTTTAAATTTTATTGAATGAAAGCAAGCAATGTCGGAAATAGCATCAACTTTTAGAATAAGTTTAGGCTTATTCGCATTGGTCACCTTTGGCACGAATTATGGCCTTCAAACTGTCAATGAAACCGCCACACGCTGCCCGAATGTTGCTCTGTGGTATTTTGGCCCATTCCCGACGAATCGCTTGCTTCAGGTGTTCGACACTTTGGTATTTTTTAGTGCCAACCTTGCTTTCCAAAATACTCCAGACACAATAGTGCAATGGATTGGTATCCGGAGATTTTGGTGGCCATTGGGCGCTGGAAATGAAGCGAGGAACTTTATTTTGTAACCATTCTTGGGTGGCGCTTGGTAAGTGCGATGGTGCTGAGTCCTGTTGGAATGTCCAAGGTCTGCGGCCAAAATGTTTGCGTGCCCAAGGCTTTAATATACCCTCCAGAATATATTCTCGATAATATTCGACAATTATTCTGATGCCACGGTCGATTAATATGAGCGGAGATCGACTATCGGCTGTTATGGCGGCCCACATCATCACCATGGCCGGCGCTTGAGTTCTGATGGCTAATCGAAGGTTCACATTTTCAGCTGACCTCTTTGGCAAGTAAACACGATCATTTTGTTTTTTTTTCAAACTGCTAGACAACGAATGATTTCTTATCGGAGAAAACCAAATTCGGCAGTTCACCACTTTCGGCCAAGCGAAGCAACTCTTTAGCTCTTTTGAGTCTATTTTCTTTCTGTTGCGGTGTAAGTTTTGCACTTTTTGGAATTTCAATGACTTTATCCCGATCTCATTTTTCAATATTTGCCGAATGGAATATTGCGATACGTTCAGCTCACGAGCCATTTTTCGGCAACTGCGACGCGCTTCTTGACTTTTCGCACCATTTATGTTGATGTTGCCGTTTTTTCCGTCCACTTCCTTGGGCTACGCTACCAGTATCACGATAACGAGCGATGGTACGAGACACAAAATATTTACTCACATTTAAATGCTGGAGTGCGCTAACGATAGCCACTTCTGGTTTTCCCGCCAAATATAAAGAAATCACACTATGACGCTTGAGTTCCATCACTAATAACTTCTTCTTCTGGAAAATTCTAACCAAAATGCTTTTGTACGCTTGTAATCAATATAATGAGCTGTCACTGGAATAAATTTGACAGCTGTCGGACTTAGAAATGACAGCAGTCTGAAGTTGGTTTACGTTCATCTCACCGTGTATGGATTCCTCGCGTTGAGATCGGAGTTGGACTCTTGACGTTTTCTAGGACTTCAGTGGAATGTTATGACAATAGAATATTTTGAACCCGAATGAGGGATCCGTTTAAAGGGAGTTTTTAACCGAAAAGATCCCTTCGTAGACTCGCGTGGAGGTCAATTAAAATATTTGTCGTATTTTTATTTGCAATATTGAAGACACATCAACGGATTCCAAGAATTGTGTATGCAGGTCCAGGTCTTCGTATAAGCCCCGTATATTCGGTATTATGATGATTTTATCTACATTATTCCTCGTTTTTTTTTTTTTCAAGTTTCGTGCTTGTATATTGTAATGGCTTATGATAAAAGTATGCAGGTCCACGTCTTCGTATAGGCAGAATTTTTATAGTTTTTTTGAATTTCCAAATTCTTTCCAAATGGAGGAGGGTATTCAAAGTTACTGCTTTTTTACTTGTTGGCTCTACTTTCATAACCTGCTGTTATTCGGTTATCTACGTTCCTAAAATACTCACATGAATGGTACAAATTGGAACTTAAAAGTCAAATAAAGGAGCTACACTAAATGAGGGACTGAGTCAGAGATAGTACCGTAAGAAACTTCAAAATTCTCGGTTAAATATATACTATTTTTGTACCAGAACTTACAAATAATAATTAAAATCGTACAAAATTGTCGAAATAATACGTAATGCCTACAAAATACACGATAAATATAAATCTTCAAAAAACGGCGACATCTTTTCCAAAATTGTCAAAATGGGTATCTGTGTCAATATAAAAAAAATTAAAAAAGTAGGCCAAATCAGATAAAAGGAAATAATTATAAATAAAACCTTGTATTATATATTAAAAAAACAAATATATGTTAAACGTAACAAATAAATTTACGAAGGTATAAATTGTAAAACGATTTTACGAAAATCCAGTACTTAAAACCTCGATCTTATACTAACCGATTTTAAGGCTCTTCGTTGCTAGAATTCCCATGGAGACCTACAACCTACCACCACCACCGCCACCAACGCAAAGACCAACCCACCACCTACCAACAATGCCTACCACACAATCGCTTAGATATTACGACAACAACGCTTGTTGCATATTTTTGCTTTCTCTGCTGGCGTTCAACTTTTTTTTTTTGAAAGATTTCATTCTTTATCTGTTTTACATACATAAGGGTATATATTTAATTGCATCTGTTTTTTGTTTTTCCCCCAAACGAAACCAAACATTTCAATAAAAAAAACAATCAGCAAGTGGAATTAAGTTTCAAAACGGGTGAAATCATACTTGTGTATGGTGATATGGATGAAGATGGTTTCTATATGGGCGAATTGGATGGTGTTCGTGGCCTTGTGCCATCGAATTTCTTAGCCGAGGCGCCCGACACATATAGTAATCAAATGATGCAAGGTGGTGGCCCTGCAGGACGCGGTGGCTTGGCCAGTCAAAGGGGCAGAGGTCAAGGGCCGGGTGCTAGAGGACCTCCACCACCGCCGCGCGACAACATGATGCCTGGTATGGCTGGGCCACGTGGTCCCCAAGGAAAGAGTAAGTAAAAGTATTCAATTTTCTTGTCTAACAACATCAACAAAAAAATCTTGACTCTATTTTTTTCTTTGTACAAAAAAGTTAAAAAACCAAAAGAAAAAAAACAATAATTAATTTTATCAAATATTTTTTCCTGTAAACAAAAAAATAAAATAATTCAGTCACTCAGTACTGTACAGTATCTAAGGATTTCTTTCTGTTTTCTTTTTTAAAAAATATTCTATGTTTTCGTTTTGTTTTTGTAAAAAGTTTACGTTTTTGTATTTTTAAGTTTTTCTTTAATGTGAGATAAATATTGGTTCTGAGAAGAAGAAAAAACAAAACATTTGCGGAGCAAAATTTCATAGCAAAAAACAATTGTGATATCGGTAAAGATTAGGTCTTTCAAAAACAAACTTTACTACTTTAGGCCTCCTTTTCGAAACCAAAAACAAAAACACTGCAAAAAAGAAAGAAATCAAATAAAACAATCTACAAAAAATACTTAAAAAATTATTATTAAAAATGTATTATTATTTAAATTTCTTATTTTGTGTATTATATCTTTTGAATTTTTATTTTCATTCTGGTTTTGGTTTTTTAAAACTTTTTTCAGTTTTCCATTTTTTTAATCTCTAATCAAAATAATTTCGGCACAATATTTCTGTAATAATATCATTTCTACTTCTTGATTTTGATTTTCTTTGTCAAATATACATACATATGAATATAGTTGTTGTTCTTGTTGTTTGTAATTGTTAACTAATATTAAATAGAGATATACGAGAAAATCAAAAGTGGATAACAAACAAATGGAATTTTATAACCAAAACAAAAAAAAAAGATATGTTTTAGTTGAAGACATTTTCACCCCAGCAATGTCAACACCTTTCCATCCCTCCATCCACCTGTCCACAATAAATCCGAATCTAAAAAAGTAGCTGGAACATCCTGCCATCACTCATTATGTTTTGAATGTATATGGCATATTTTTTATTTCTTTTCTTTTTTCAATCATTTCTCATTATTTTTCTCGTCTATTAATTACTACTCATTTGTCGTTGTCCTCCAAAAATATTATTGTTTCGAATCTAATTCTTATTCTTCTTCACCTCTAAATGTGTTTATATGTTTCTAAATAAAAAAATAAACAACCAAACTTGTCTTCTAATTCCTAAATCTTAAGTATTTTATGCGTGTCCTGTCTGTAAAAGTTGTGTCTGTGTGTTTGCTCCCCCATTTTAAGTTTATGATTTTTTTTTTGTCTCAATACTAAGCATGCCAAAGTCCTTTATTTCTATTTCTTAGTTTCTTTACTCCTTATGTTCACAACTTATAGTTTGTGCTAGGAAAAGAGAAACTTCTGTAACTCCTAATTTAACCCTTAAACCACCGAAAATCAAAAGTCATCTATGAAATTAAAGTCTTTATAAAATTAAAGCACATTCGAAATGGAAAATTATATATATATTTATGAATACTTTTTCTCAAAACTTGTATATGGGTTAGTGTGGTTTAAGGGTTAAATATATAGAATTATCAATATACGGAAATGATGAAGTATTTTCAATTCATATGCGGGGTTAAGTACAAACGCTGATTAAAAATAACAAATACATTTAAATTTAGAAATTGAAACATTTACAAAACCATAATGAAACTAGACCTTTATTCTATAAAAATGTAGAATTTCGATCCATAAAAAGTATTTGAATGGGCATAATCTCTGTCTTTATAATTAAAGAAATTGGTAGACCACTGTCTTAAAAGTAGGAGCTTTGATACAAGAACGACCAGGAATATTCCCAAGTGAAACATGATAATAAACTGACCTACAAAAACTACTCGAATTAAGGAAGGAATATTCGATTTATCTATGTAACTCGACTAAGAGCAAATATGCTTCGCTCATTTTTGAGCGGGGTCAAAATACGCTCGCAATCGAGCAGATTATTCTCTTGCAATTTTCCAATACCCGTTTGTTTTATTACTGTGGAAGATTCAATTATTTGATTTTTTTAGTCTGGAATAGTCCACCATTGGCTTAACTTCATATTACTCTCTATTACAGAGAGCAACGAAAGTGTCAGCTTTGCAATATTTGCTGATCACTACCAATATCATGGTCACATGGCTCGAGCATTCACAAGAGAATGTCGAGCATTCACAAGAGAATGTCGAGCATTCACAAGAGAATGAGAATCACACTCACTTCTTACCTTTGCCAAAAATTGTTTGTTCTATACACCTACGAACACAATAAAATAGTAAAATAATTTCTTTTACTCGATTTCTCTCTTAGAATAAACTCTCACTATAATTCGAACATTTTGGCTCACACTCATAGACTCTTAGAATGCCTTGGATAACATTCAAGCAATTTTAACTTCCATATAGGATCCGTCTTTTCGTGGAGGGTACTTTCGGTCTTATCGTCGAAACCTTAACTGAACCACGTTAATCAATCATAAATTAGTATCGAGTTCTTGGTGCATGACCTGAGTTCGCTTACGACCTATTGACCTTTGGCATACATATGAATATAAACAGATGTCCTGCAATGCCACCTTCCAAGACTGTCCACAGATTCGAGTGCTTTTCCAGCTTGAAATCCTGTTTAGTTCTCATTTTCGAATTCGCTAACCTTTATGGAAAGGTGACTGAGCTGGGACAGGATGCTTGCACAAAATTGATAGGATCAGATTCAATCAAATTATCTTTAGCAAAAACTTCAGAGTAGGAAAAAATTCGAATTTCATGGCTCGAAAGAAGACAAGTCAAATTTTTCAAATAACAATGTCAGCATTTTTAAGTGTCAGGTCCCGTTTGATAGTGAAACTTCATAATCCAGACGAAACTCCAATCTACATCCCATGTGAAGCTTCACAAGAAGCCAACGTAAACATTCAGGCTAGATCAATAAGTCAATGGCACATGGTAACCCATTTGACAGAATGTAGTTTCCGGTACAGCATCGTAACCGAAACTTTCACCAGTGAAGGCACACATTTTTTTCTAAATCTTTAAAGTGTTTTGGCTACAGCACCGATTTGCTCATGTTCGACCCGGGAGCGAAAATGCTCGAAGAGTGCGAATTTTATACGACATGTCTCACTCTTTTGCTTTATGTGGGAACTCTTTCCAGTCACTCCAGCTTGAAAAGTAAGAATGGGATTCGAATCACTCAAAAGATAGTAAGAGCTTTCTCTACGAGTGTCATCGAACATGTGGAAAGTCAAAGAAGAGAAAAACGACAGAAATAAAAAATTAAATAACGAAATGAATAATAATCATATAAATACTTTATTGGTTCAGATTGGTGACAACGCTCTCAAAGTATTAAGTTTTTTTTTCGTTTGCAGCTGTGGATAGAATAAATTTCCATAGAAATTCAACAACGGTACGGGAAAAAACTAAAATAATGCTCGAAGAACTTGCTTAATTTTGCACCCACTCTAAAATGAGATCGACATCGATAACTAAGGTATGCTAGATTTTTTTCTTCTCCCTATGAGTGCATCACACTTCAGTTCGAGTAAAAGGTGAAATTAGCTCGTAGTATTTCGGTGGTAAACCGAAGCAATATTGAGGTTAAAGGAGTTCTGCGATTGTATCATTCAACGATGCATTTTAATCTTCTCAAATTTTATCCGATGTGGCTTTCGTCCAGTTAAGGCTCAGTCCTAAACAAAACAAACGACCAAAGACAGACTATACAAGGTGGCGCAAAAGTAAACTTCCGATGTATTTTGGCTGTAATTAAAAAAGTAAAAAACTTTGATTCTTCTTGTGGATTATATTCATTTGTTCTTTTACATCAAGTCCAGAATATGATGTCACGTAATGGACGCCACCAAAGTTTATTGTCTTTTGAGCCCTTTTTATGACATTGTCCTTCACTTTGGCTAAAACTTCCGGCGATAGGTCCTCACATTCTTGACGGATATTGTATTTATGAGCTGAAAGAGTCTAAGGATTGTTGACATAAACCCGCGACTTCAAAAAGTCCCACCAAAAGAAGTCTGGAGCGGTCTGATCTAGCTGACCAGTGCAAATCACCAAACGAGAGATTAGACGCTCGGAAAATACATCCTTCGGCACATCGATGTGAAGCGTTTGCACCGTCATGTTGGAACCACATGTTTTCCAATCACAACTATTATGATTATTTTTGATGGAAAATCATTTGCTTCTTGGTGGTAATTAAGGATGTCTTGAGCGTATGTTAGACGCGATTGGCTGTCAGCAGCTAATAGCTGATGCACCATCTGGTCTTTGTACGAAAACATCTTCAAATCATGTACCAAAATTCGCTGATACCGATTTGCGTGGCACGTCGCCTGGTCGATGTCAACGGCGCTTTCATGACAACCTCGGCTACAGCAGCAATATTCTCTGCAGAATGGATACTCCGGGGTCTGCCACTCTCGGCAGCATCTTTTGTTGTGCCAGTCTCATTGGGCGAGCGGCTAAACGTCACAGTGTTTCACCAGTAGGCGTTGGAAGGCCAGGAAATCTGAGACGAAATTCATGTTGTAGCCAAGTCACCGAATGCTTGTAGGTCAAATAAATAGTCACCAATATTTCGCGTTCTGGAGCAGTGTAGCGTAACACTGTTTATTAACGTGTATTTCGCATGACATTATTTGCAAATCGTAAAATTTATAGCATTTTCTGATAGGAGAATTACTTTTGCGCCACCTTGTATATAAAGATGGGACATTTCATTGTAGGTTTGCTTCCCTAGAGGGTGTTGGTAGTCGAAATACATGTTGGGTCACCATTATGTCGTAATTTAACAGACCTAACGTTTTTATAGGGATTTCGATGATTTTTATATTTACCAGTTTCCCGTTTTTTTGGGAGAATTACAATCTTCGGTAAAACTAAAATAGAATTCAAAGAAGTACATTCAACTTATAGATTATGACGAACTGACGAAACATCTATAACAGTTTCTACAAAGCAAATGGTACAGCTGACAGTTTTCCGACTTCAAAAGATTCCTTCATAATGATTTCTACTCTCAGGCGGTTCAAAGTCGAAATACTTTCAACAAAGCGTTTGGGATTTTTGTCCTCAGGGCCGATTTTCCAACCTTCACTGGCCTTTATCGAAGTGTTAACGCCGAGATTATCGGCAACTGTGGCAAGTTTTCAACTCCACCCTCTGAATAACCAAAGCTATCCGAAGTACAAAGATTTTGAATTTTTTACTTACACAATGACTTGACTTTCTTTCAGCTGGAAAATGAAACCTTAGTTCCATATGTCCTAATAGTCTCATTTGAATGATACACTCTCTTAGTAACCAATTAGGGAGCATTTCCATATATTTATGAATAATAATGGGTGAATTGGGACTTTTTTTCTTCGAAGATCAGAAGCAAATATTATAGGCAACTAAGTAAAATTGTCTCATGTGAACACCGCTAGTGAGGAATTCTTATAAACAGATTACAAAATTTATTTTGGAAGTTCAATATGCATCAGTGTAAACTGGGCTTAATCTGTTTTAAAAAAACATTTATAGTTTTATAGTTTGCTCGATTTTGTTTTTCATTTTTTGCTACGGTGTTTTATTGCGAATTTTTGAAGAAAAAATTACATATTTATACAAAACAACAAAGTAAACAACAATAACAACAACATTCACAAACACATACACAACTATTTATAAATATTTTTACATAACAATTGCTTCTAAGGCACTATACAAAATAATTTAAAACGAAAAAAAAAAAACAAACAATTATTTTTAATTTCAACTACAAGTACATATTATTAAGTGTATAAAATTTATAAATAATTATTATGTAAAATTAAGTAATACAGACAAAATGCAACAACATATTTGAAAGGTAATACTACAAAACACTTGTTATTGAAAGTAATTTATTTGATTTTATTTTTTTTTTTTTTTTGCTTTTTCTTATAAAGCAAAGCAAATACTTTTTTTGCTACTCCTTCGTTTTTTCTCTTTCAATTATTTTCTAATATATATTTAATTTTGTATAAAATTCTGTTAACCTTTTATATGTATGTGGAATTTCAAGTCCAAACTTGCGGTGAATTATATAGAAAACAAACAAAATTCAGATCAAATTCAGATTCGAATGGAGTTCTAATTCAGTCCCACACCTTAAGAAGCTGCTGTATTTTGTCTACATAATGGAATTTCGTGGTTATAGGGTTGCCTCCCCAAAGAAAAATCAAATCAAATTATTACTAACAAAAACAACAAAAAACTTTTTTTCCAAATTGGTTCTCTTCCAAAAAAAAAACAATAACAGAAATGCATCGAAATTTTTTTATATAATTTTTTCTTGTCTATGATTTCCTTATTCTGTCTTTTTCTTTTGATTTTCTTTTTCGTTGTTACATTTTTATTTATTTCTGAAAAAAAAGAAAAAAAAAAAAACAACTACCAATACCAACAAAAAGAATTTAAGTTAACAAAATTTATTTTGTAATGGTCTGCTGTGGTAAATGTGAAGTCTTTATGTTATATTTGTTGCTATAGATGCTCGCCCTGCTTCCCCTACACTGTTAGACAACACGGGCCACCCTGCCCCCGATCACCAAACGCAGGTAAATACTCTAACTTCTTTACATTTTTGTTAAGAAAAAATGCATTTAACTTGTTCTTCATTTTTTAGTTTTGTTTTTGAAATATACGTTATATCTCTTTCTCTCTCTCTCAAACATTATACCTACTCTCTTTTAACAAACTTAAATATATTTGCAAAAAAAAATCTCCCCTCAAATGAAAAAAAAAACAACTCGAAAAAAACTCCACTCACTGTTTTAAGTACAATTTTTACTACTACTATCACACCCTACCTAGAACTGTCTCTTTACAACTGTTACTACTACTACTACATCAACTACTATTTCTACTACTTGTCTACTACAACTGTGTTCAACACAACTCTGTCTCTGATTAGATGATACTCAACAACTCAACATTCATGCATTCCAATTGTGTTGTATTGTAATTTTTGCTTTCATTTTCATTTCAAACCAAAAACTAATTGTCGTTTGTGTTTGATTTGGAGTTTCGTAGAAAGAAATTAAAATCTAAGAAAAAAAAAACAAATAAACGGCAATAATTTCATAACGAAATGCTAATTTTATCCAACACATACTACCCCCCCCAAGTGTAAGCGAATTCCAACAATTAATTGTGATTAAACCAAAATGAACAAATTCAGTTTCAATCAACTTTTATGTATAGCTAGCAACATTTTGAAAGCTTAAAACAACGAATATAAAAACAAAAAAATATAATTTTGTGCTTTAGATATTGTCGAAGAAAAAATATCAGTAAATGAACGAAAGAAGTAGTTCAGCAACAGCAATCTTTGTTAAACACACACTGGCAACACCCACACCCGTTGTAGAAACTAATTAGTTGTTTTTGTTTTTTCTCTCTCTTTGTGTAGAAATGATCGAAGAAAACAATGTTAGCAAACATTTTCAATGAAACGGCATTACATTAGCAAAACATAGTTACATACAAACAAAAAGTACATTCCATGTTTACCCATTGACACTATCACAACCAAAAACTCACCACACTTTATCCATCACCCCAACAGTGGTGAACATTCAAGCTTGGTTCCTGATTCAAAATCGAAAATCCAGTTATTTCTTCTGTTTCATTTTTCACTTTCATTTCACTTCAGCTTTCAGCCTCCTTTGATTTTTATGTTACATGCTTTGTTTCTTTTTCTCTCCCCTATCAAAATATTTTTTTGTTTGCAAACGTTTTCCCTATTCCAAATTTGGACACATATTAAAACCGCAAGTCAACTCAAAACATATACCTACGACAGATTAATTCACTTCAACTTCTAACAACCACCAACCCACCCACTAAAAAAACCAACGAACCACCCATATCAATGAAAGCAGAGCGAAATTCCAATAATATCATTACAAAAGTTTTAGACATAGAGTATTAGGGTATTCTAATCGCAACGTATGTTATAATTTCGTGTCTCTTTTGTACCTCCCAATTAGAAAGAAAATTCTCGAAACTATACCAACCTGTTTTGTACATCGAGGTCTTTTCACTCATTTCGATCTACGATTGACTTTCAGTGACAAAAAATGTCTTGCATCAGCATTTTTCAACGTATGTGGGAACAAGGTACAACCAAACGATAGTTTAACTTCGTAAAAATGCAACACTGTAGAAGAGCCTTTTTTTCAAATGTGACTTAAAAATTTCTGAAATATGTTTTTATCTTATCGTAGATAAAAACATATTTCAGACCATATTACGACCATAAAAAACATAATATTTTAAGAAAACATTTTATGCAGAAAATAATTTTTTCAAAGTTTTGCAAATAAAATTGCCACTTCTATTATATCAGAATTTGAAATAATTCTAAATTGTATTATTTATTGTTCAAAACAATACAAAGACATAAAGTGGCAAAAATTGCATTGAAAAAGATGAAAAAATATTTGTATTTAAAAAGTTACTTTATTCTACCTCCTGCTATTATACCAGACTATTCAAATTTTCCTTAAACATAAAATCCTGCTGCCAAATATATTCATATTGTCATCTACAGAAATACATGAATGGAGGAACTATATTAAAAGATATAGGCCCGTTGTTACATCTTTCCTTTATAGTCCACTTTTGTTATCCCTTACTTTAAGAAAAGTGAAAGAAAAAGTTCACATTATCGGATTGTCATTGTTACATCTTTCATTTAAAATGTGTGCATTTTTTACAAGGATATGGCAAGCTTTCTGTAAAAGTAACTGGTAGTCACTGCATTTTTTTCATAATGGCATATTCATTTCAGTTTAAAAATAATAAACAAATAATAATATTAATAAGAAATATATTTATAATTCATTTCTTCAATATAAAATAGACGATTTGAGTTATCCATTTTTTTTATTTAAATACATTTTGCAAAATATGGCATGAACAATGAATTCAGTAAACTTTACGTTAGAAGATAAAAGGAAGATGACCTGTCCTTTTGCTTATCGGATAGTTCATACTTAAATAAAACTTGTAATAACGAAAAAACGATTTATGTGTCCAACAACATCAGTTTTTATCTATCGGAAAGATGTAAAAAACCGGCCATAGAAGTATAAAGTTAGGACAAGACAGATCAAACATATGGCAACCCTGTGAAAATACCTCTGTTATGATATAACAATATACATAGTTACCAATGTTAACCGATATTAAACTTTTATTTGTTATTCGTTTCTCTAATTGTGGTGTTTTAACATGCCTCTGTCAGTAGGTCAAAATACATTTTGTATAGGCTTTACCACTTTAGGTCTTTGGTACATGGAACTAGTTCCTTTTAAGAAACAGAACGTTTAAAAGTGAACGAGATTACCAACACCAGTATGAATTAGTGTTGTATAGTTTCGGAATGAACTAGAATCTACAAGAAAAGTGAAAGGAGCTATTGAAATTTATTTCTTTTTACGTCGCTTCATTTTATAGTTCTAACGCTACGTTTACATTGGAGTTTTTACGAATGAATCTACAAGAATGCATGAACGAAGGAACTACATGCAACTAGTTGCATTTAAGAAACGAGAAAGAGTGGACAAGATTTCTCAACTCTAGTATGAATTAGAGTGTGTCGTGCCTAAATGGACTAGCCATGCGAACAATAACATTTTTTTTAAATGGAGGCTAGCGTGTTTCCTTCTCTGATTGACAAACGTCAGCTGAGTAGCATATATATCCTCCTGAGGGTTTCTAAATTAATCCTATGTGTTTGGATTTATTAAATCCAGTAGTTTAGTCTTTAATAATGTAAATGCGCTATTAGAAAGGAAGAAAGACAACAGGTCTACCACCTTATTGTACCTCTTTATCATATCGAACAAAAATGCAATTGTATCCACGTGTAGATGGAACTAAAATGTTGAAATTAATAAGTCCAGGGACTTTAAATTGTCAATTTAGTTGCATATGCCTCAAATAAATAAGACAAAAAGTTCTAACGCAAAAACGATATAAAACATTCCATTCCGCTAAGCCAGTAACATTGAATATCTATATCTATATCATCTGGTTGTCAAAACCAAAAATATATTACCAAACAAAACTAAATATAAATGAGTTGAAATATAGATGGTGCTCGCTGAACTTAGTCTACGATTTTGGTTAGTTTTTCGGAAGACTTGGCTATTGTCTTCCTTTTCAGAATTGACCAAGGCCGTTTCAGAAACTGTCATGAAAATACTACTTTTGCCATTTTTTTACACTTTTTTCTACAAATCTACTCCTGTATCGAAAATATAGTAAAATTTGTAGGCGAATTTAAGAGAAAAAAAGTAAAGCGTAGTAGTACTATTGGAAGTTTTTTTTCTGGCTGAGATTGTGATTTGAAAGAATGCCATCTATTTTGGAGATTTTTGCTAGTTTTCTGTTCTCGTACGTTCTGGGTAACGTAGTTTTCTCAGAGTTCATTTCACATTTCCCTCCTTTAGCACCTTTACTATTAATAAAGTACAGGAACACAACAATTACTATCGGCATTCTTTCTCGCAAACGAAGTAGCGGTCATATATCAAAAACATGCTTAAAAATGACGTACAGACGGCGCTCGAAATAATTAGTCCTCAAAGACCGATTCTCCTTTGGATGTTGTTTTATTCTTTTGCAATAATTACTGATTTCCCAGCAGTCATAAAATTCATATGGATACAATAGAGCTAAGCTTTCTCCCTGATTGTGGGTATGTTAATGTAGGGCAGAGCGATCTCTATTTCTATGAAATTATTTTCCACTATTGAAAGATAAACTCCAACCAAAAAGGTATTTACTAATAACATACGTTGCGAAAAGAACACTTCATGAATATATACAAAATAATATTATCTTAATTTTCAACATAATTCATTAAAAAATTGTCTGTAAATATACTATCGTCACATTTAAAGCCATATTAAAAATGACAACTTCAAATAGAAAAAAACTCTTAGAAGCAAAGCATATTACAAACAAATTTAAATGCTTATAATATTTTGTAATATAATACAAGACCTATATATCTACCTACATACATAAGTATAAAATCTTCATATATATAAACAAATATTTATTAGTCGTGTGTCTATAAAAAAAAAACAAACCAAAAACATTTTAACCAAAAATAACTCTTTTTCATTTCCTAATCATATTGGATGTAAATGTAAATGGTGTGTAAAAAAATTTCTATGTGATTCACTGTATGTGTACAAAATGTCCTCCGTTTCCTTACGTTTTTTCTGTTCTCTTATAGTTTTTATTCGTAAATATTATAAATAATGATATCTATATAGAGTGTGTAATCAATCAATCATTCCTTTTTGGCTTCTTTGGTTCTTCTGTCATCAGTATCTTGTATAACAATCGATCATTTTTGTGTTTCATTCGTTTTTAATTTTTGGCTTTTTCCATATATGATTTGTCGTTTCATTTCAAAATGTTTGTTATAAATTGCAAAGAAAAAAACTGTACGTTAATTATTAAATAATTTAAAATTTAGTTGAAATTATTTTGATTTTAGTTTGATATAACAAAAAAGAAAAAAAAATTAATCCAACACAACTCAAAACATACAAAATCAATACAGAAAATCGAAAACAAACAGAGCAGAATAACTGTTATTGCGTTATGGTTAAATGCTTAAGAAAATATACATACATATATACCTAAACTAACAACCTAAGCCTACTTTACGCCGACAACTAAATTTCGTATTTTACGAAGCATTTACTTGATTTGTAATCAAAAGAAATGGAGAAATATAAGAACATATTCGGTGTAAATAAGGCTTTACATATATTAATTCATAAGCATAGTTTGTTTTTGTTTTAGTGTTCCAAAAGATTTTTATAAAAAAAACGTTGCTAGTTCTACATATACATAACTCATTAAAAACAAAACATTTACTTAAATAATCCATGAAATATATTGCAAAGTAAACAAAGGAATTCTACTCAAGTTTATTATAAACGATTTGTTTGTGGTTGAAATTTTAGGTTACGATTCAGATTTCTATTGCATATTTCAAGGCGTTTCGCATACCTGCGTCTTATCAGGTTATAATAACCAAGGCGACACAGTAAAAGCACGTTTACATACAAACATTTATCCAGCTTAACTGTGATAATTGACCAATCGCTATTAATTTGACTATTGTGATTAACCCGGGTAAACATTTCCTATGTAAACGTGTTATAGGACTGCATGTTGTATTCTCTTGCTGTCAAAACACATTTTTGTATTGAGAACATATAATAAAATCTTTGTTTTTGACGATGTATAACATTTAAATAAGAATTGTTAAATATTTGTTAGATTTTTGACAGACAGATGTGAGGAATTTATCTTAAAAAAACTTTTCACAACAAGAGAAAATTCAGTAAATTTAAACATTTTTTGTTATTTTATTTGAAAATGATAGATTAGCTCCAAAAGGGTTACCACAACTGATTTGGCAAATGAGACCAACTCTTTAATTCTGCCATGCTCCCAACAAGTTGTTATTTGTTAATACATTCGGTTATTCCACATGATGCAATGGGTTACGCCGAGGAAATAAAATGGATTGAATAAATGTTTTCTGTTTGCTCAAAATAGTGCATTTATTTTTTACCGGTTTTGGTAAACCAACCAATTTTTGTTTACAAATAAGTCTCACACCTATTAGGTGTATATTCTTCTTTGGTTAAGTACAATTGCATGGTACAATAAAAAGGTAAAGTAAAAACTTAAAAAACGAAAAAGTTTTCAAATTAATGAGTAGAAGAAACGTACATGGCAAGGCGCGCATTAAGATTATTCACCAGTTTTGCCATGGAAACTAAATATTTGACAGATCATGTTTATTAAAGAAAATCCTGGCTTGCATCCATCCTTCGACATTTTAACCTATTTCAAGAAATAATAAAATAAATCAAAGAAACAAGAATAACTTATTTATCTAATTTTAACATTTCAGAGAGAAAAGGTATAGCTTCAGGGATATATTTCACTTGTTTTGCGAAGCTGAAAATCTGATTTTCATTATTTCGGAAAACTTTTCATGGGGTCTTATCTTTTTCACGAGTACGAATTTCCGTAGATAGAAAGAAGGCACAGGGGTTCCTCCAAAAGGTTTTCTCAAAATTGACAGAAAAACTAAATTTGTATGAAAATTATGGGGTTTCTATTCATGTTAGTGGATTCTCAATATTACGTAGTTCAATAAATGCGTTCATAACAAGTACATGAATTTCGTAGGAACGCAGTTATTTTATTATTATTATATTATTATTATGATTATTTTATTATTATTCATTATCATATTATTATTATATATTAGTATTATTATTATTATATTATATTATTATTATTATATATTATTATTATTATCTATTATTATTATTATTATATTATTATTATTATTATATTATTATTATTATTATTATTATATTATATTATTACTATTATATTATTATTATTATTATTATTATTTATTATTATTATTATTATTATTATTATTAATTATATATTATTATATTATTATATTATTATCATGTATTAATTATTATTATTATATTATTATATTATTATATTATTATATTATTATATTATTATTATTATTATTATTATTCATTATATTATTATTATATTATTATTATTATATTATTATTATATTATTATTATATTATTATTATGATATTTTATTATTATTATTATTATTATTATTATTATACTATTATTATTATTATTATTATATTATATTATTATTATTATTATTATTATTATTATTAGTATATTATATTATTATTATTATTATTATTATTCTATATTATTATTTATTATTATTCTTATGATTATTATTATTATTTAAGGTTATTTGACCAATATTCCAGATACGTTATAATAAGCAAAAGGGAACACCGCTAAGTAAATAAACAAAAGCTTCCAAATATTTGTAGTTTGAAAATCGAGACATGGCAGAAGAATACAGGTAGATGCATCAACGCTTGGGAGCATTGATATGTCAAAAAAATTAAAGTAGATTTTTATATGTTTTCTTATACTAAGTCATTCGGAGGCTATTATAATTCGCGTTTTTCAACAATTTTTACAAATTTAAATAATTTATCATTCAACATTTTCAATTCCAAAATTGGTTTGACAGTTCATTGTCCCAGCAGCTGTGTCGACGCGTCTACCTATATTCTTCTACCATGAATCGAGGCATGAAATCTATTATCGTGTCGTTTGTAAAAGCAGGTAATTGCATTATTATACCCTCCACCATACTATGGAGGGTATATTAACTTGGTCATTCCAAACAAAGTTTGACCCAACAAAGTATATATATATTCTTGATCAGCGTAAAATTCTAAGTCGATTTAGCGATGTCCGTCTGTCTGTCCTTCTGTCTGTTGTAATCACGCTATTTTTCGAACGAATTGAGATAGAAGGCTCAAGGCTGTACACAAGTTTGTTTTTCCAGTAAGCAGGTTAAGTTCGTAAATGGGCCATGCAGGTCCACGCCTTCGTATAGCCCCCATATAACGGTACCTCCCGATATTCGGTATTTTGATGATTTTAGCGACATTATTCACCGGAATTGCTTCAAATTTGGTATTTGAAGTTCGTAATGGATACTACAGCCTATGACAGAAAATTGTCTGTGCAGGCTCACATCTTCGTATAGCCTCCATATAACGGTACCTCCCAATATTCGGTATTTTGATGATTTTAGCGTCATTATTCACCGGAATTGTTTCAAATTTGGTATTTGAAGTTTGTAATAGATACTACAGCCTATGACAGAAAATTGTCTATGCAGGTCCAGGTCTTCGTATAGGCTCCATATATCAGTACCTCCCTATATTCGGTATTTTGAAGAGTTTAGGTTTAGGTACCCACCGAAATTGTTTGAGATGTCGTATTTGAAGTTCGTAATGGATGCTACAGCCCGTGACAGAGGGTTGTCTATCCAGGTCCAGGTCTTTGTATAGCTCCGATATAACGGTACCTCTCTATATATGGTATTTTGATGATTTTAGGTATATTATTCACCGTTTATTCAACGTTTCGAATTTGAATATGGTAATGGCTTATGACAAACAATGGTAATGTAGGTCCACGTCGTATTGACCCCAACTTATCGGCTATAGTCGGCATTTTAAAAATTTTAACAAAACTTTTAACGGATTTTATTTTTTTGAAAATTTCCAAATTCGTTCCGAATGGTGGAGGGTATTCAAAGTTCGGCCCGGCCGAACTTACTGCATTTTATCTTGTTTTAGTTGTACTGTACACAAGTCGTTCTTTCACTAAGGCCAGTAGGCATATCTCGTTACACGCCTTACACACATAATAAGTCCATTGGATTACAACTGTCAACTTGGTATATGTAAACAGGCCTTTGGAGTCGTTTGTAAAATGATTTAATATTTTGCATTTTTGAGGAATAATTTAGGCACTCCTGAATAATTTAAAGTCAAAATAAACTTTTCGTACTATAAAAAAAAATATTGTGTTCATAGCATGAAGAAAGTATAATTTTATACAATAGTAATATATTATTACATAGTATAAATAAACATTGCAATAAACATCGCAAAATTTCTAAAGATAAATGTTAAAATATCAATCTACAATCTACATTATATAGTGCTATATCAACATTATTTGTTGAGATAATTACCTAAAACAATTTACAATTGACTCATATCAGATGATATGTTAAGCAAATAAAATCTAACTATCGTACCTAAATTTCAGCACACATCAAATTGAATTAAAAACTTGAGTAGATTCCGAAGTCAAGTGTCAAAAACTCTTATCATCAGTTCGGTAGTCCTGAGTAGTAAGTAACTTTTAAAATTGGCCAATATACCTACGCTACATGCATATATTTCGTTTATTCATATCATGCCAAAAAAAAAAAAAAAACGTTCCACACTATTGTTGCTATTCGAGACAAATGTACGATGTGGAAAGCGGAGACAAATGAAATTGAGTGGAATCAGCGTATTTTGTTTCGCCAGACGAAACACTTCTAATTTCAATGAATGAAGTTCTGATGCCCCGCAACATTGTTAATCAATCCTTCGTATATTCCACAAAAAAAATATTTATTTATAAATTTCTCTCTTTCTATATATTTATACATATATATAAATATATCTTTTGTCAGTTACTAAATGTATAACGAGTTTTTTTAGCCAAGATTTCCTATTTTTTCGGTTTGTTTTTGGATTTATTCGAGTAATGGATTTTTTCCAATATTCCTTGTTTTTATTTTTAATCTTTGTTTTTTGGTTTGTTCGTTTGTTTTCTTCTCAACACTTTCTCTATTCCTACTGTTATTGTTGCGAGATGCAAATAGTTCATTGACAATATTTGCCATCCTTGCCAATTGCTAATGTCCGTCTCATGTCTTACAGGGGATGATCGGTCGCGCTGGTAATGTTGTTGGCGGAATGCAACAACAACAGCAACCATATGGTCAGCAACAACAGCAGTCACAACAACAACTACAGCAACAGCAGCAAATGGGTGGCATGGGGCAAATGGGTCAGCAGGGCATGATGGGTCAACAGCAAGGCATGATGGGCCAACAGCCGGGCATGGGACAACAGCCTGGCATGGGTCAACAGGGCATGATGGGCCAACAACCGGGCATGGGACAACAACAGCAGGGCCAACAAATGGGCCAGATGGGGCAAATGGGCATGCAGCAGGGTCAACAGCCTGGCATGCCCGGCCAGCAGCAGATGGGACAAATGGGTCAGATGGGCATGATGGGCCAACAACAACAGCCGCAGCAACAACAACCTCCCCCCGTATCACAACCCTCAGGCGGTTTATTATCCGGAGCAACTAGCTTACTCTCGGGTGCTACTTCGGCTGCCACCGGTGGTCTATTTGGTTCGAAACAACCACCGAAACAAGATCCAATGCAACCACCAGGTGGTGCGCAGCCAACGCAGCAAGCTTCAACCGGCCTGGGGGGATTGTTCGGCGGCGGCGCCCAACAACAACAGCAGCAGCAGCAACAACAACAGCCACAGCAGCAGCAACAACAACCACAAGTGCCACCTCAAGGTCAACAGCCACCACCGCAAGGTCAAGGACCCGGTGCCGGTCTGCTGGGCGGTCTCAAAGGTATCGCAGCAGCGGCGCCGGGCGGTGATGTGCTGTCGAAAGGTAAAGATCTCTTTGGCAAGTTCGGCTTCGGTTTTGGTAAATAACCCCGGTCATATTATAGGTCGTTTTTATATATATTATTAAATTAATACTTAATAATTAATAATAATAATTATAACAATAATATTAAATTACTATAAATTATAGAAAGAAAAACAAATTAAAAAAAAGAACAAATACCAAAAAAAGACAAGAACAAGAAAAAATCTTACAAAAAAATTATGCATTCACAATAAAACAAATTTTTAAAAAGTAAAACCAAATAAGAAAACGAATTAAAATCCCAAAAAAAGAAGAAACATGGATGCAGTTTTTTACAGCACACGTACGCGGAACATGATGTTAAGTGCTTCGAAGGCAATGCCCTCGTTTCGAAAATGTTTCGATGCAAATTTTTACTAAACTTTCAAAATTTGATTTTTAAAAATGTCACTAAATATAGGATTAGTTATTGATCAAAATTCATGATTCATCTCTCTTTCTCACTCTTCCTCACATTCTTTTTGGGAAAATTGTAGAAAATGCGTTCTCAGTTAGAAAGAAAGAAATAAATAGGGAATTTTCTCACTTACTGAGATAGATTTTATTTTTTCTATACGATGTTTAAGCCTTCAATCAAATTAAAAAAAAAATAGATAAAAAATCTTCTTCGCCATCGAATTTGATTTTAAATAATAAGATATTCTTCGATTCTATTATCTAAAAAACCGGGATGCCCACATTTTTATTTAAAAAATTTGTCTGTTCAAAATGAGACCTGGAATATTTTCTACCCACAATTGACCCGAAATTTAATATTTAAGTCGCGTTCTCTTAAAGCAATATGTCCCAATTTTCAGTATCGAAAATTCCCAGGAGAATTAGCTGTGGAACAAATACAAATATTACTCTTAATATGATTGGGCGCCACTTATTCAAAATTTGTTAAAAAATAATAAATTTGGAAATTTCGCGGGATGTATATTTCATTGTTCCTAATATCAAGAGATTGACATTCTTAGAGCCTATTGTGAAGCCATGTTCAGAGAGACCCATTGTAAAGTTGTAAACGTCGAAAGCTTTAAATATCTGTAAACAAGTAAATATTCACAAATTTCTAAAATATTGCAATAACCCACATAATACATCTCAAGTTAGTTGAACGTTTAGGTTGTATTATTGAAATCTCGCTGATCATTATGATGAAATTTCCTTGTGAAAATCTTCAAAATTGGGCAAAGTTTTTGTTCTATAAAAATATGAAATTAATAATATATTTTTTACCCATAATGCTTGGGCGCCACTTATTGATAATTTGTATAAAATTTGTGACGATTCGATTGTTTCTTGTGTTATCTTTATTCGAGGTCTACTATACGTATTTCTGGTTTAAAGATTAAAATGAAACTAATTAGGAAAGCACTTTTCCGCCCCGATTAAGGCACATCCAAAACATGGTAATGCTGCTGTTAATGCCAGCGTCTTGTAATAAAAATCGGTCTTCATGCATTTATGTCTTGATTTACGGTAATAGAAAGAAGACATTGTATGCCAAGTCTGGACTGTGCGGCGTATGACCTGTGAATTTCACCTTCTTCCCATTAAAAGGCGCTGCTTTGATTCCATGTGTGGGAGCTCTCATAACCATGATGCACAATTCCTCCTACGTTGTTTAAGCAGAACAGACGCCATATTTCACGGGATTCTAGAAGAAAGTCTTCAGATCTTCTAATAGACCTCCTGAACAACTTAGAGAAGACTTTCTGGTTGTCAACGAAGAGAACTTCTGGTCGTCTATGAGATGACCCTCTGGTTGTCTATGAGGAGACCTTCTGCTGTGCTGTGCGAAAAGACTCTTGGATTTCTAAGAGAAGTCATTTGGACTACTAAGAGAAGATCCATTGATCTTCAGTGAGAATTCCCTTTGGTCTTTTATGAGAAGATACTTTGGCCCTAAGAAGATCTTTGGCCCTAAGAAGATCTTTGGCCATCTATCAGAAGACCCTTTTATACTTTTGGCGTTCTAGAAAAAAACCTTCAGAGCTTTTAGGAGAAAAAAATCAGAATTTCTAGAAGAAGACCTCCCGACTGCGGAAAGAAGATCTTTTAGTTGACAACAAGAAGACCTTTCGTCGTCTATGAAAATTCCCTCTAGTCTTTTATAAAAAGACTCATTGGACTTCTAAGAGAAGATACTATAGTCTTCTATGAGCTTTTTTTATTTTTCATTAGAAGATCTTTAGTGGGTGAACCCTTTTGACTTCAAGAAGAGAACCCTTTTGTGTTCTAGGAGAGGACCCTTTTGGGCTACAAAAAAATTCCTTCTGGTCGTCTATAATACCCCCTTGTATTTTTTAGAAAACACTTGGACTTCTAAACGAATATCTTTTGGTCTTCCATGATAAGATATTTTGGTCTTCCATGATAAGATATTTTGGTCTTCCAAGAAAAGACCCTTTGATCTTCACATGGGAGAACCCTTTGGTCTTCAAAAAGAGGACCCTTTTGTCTTTTATGGGAGAACCTTTCTGGAGATAAGATCTTTTAGTGGTAAACAGAAAACAACTTCTGGTCGTATATGAGAAGACGTTCTCAAAGCTTTCTTCGATTTCATTCCACCGAAAATATTCGCAATTAAGGAAACGTCAATATCACTTGAGTATCAATATTGGCCTTAGATATTTTTAAGAGGTTCCCTATTTCTTGGTAATAAACCACATTTCAAGTTTTCTTTAATATTACCTTTGCTCCTTGGTGAAAAATTTCATTACGCTATAACTACTTACAAACCAAACTTTATTTTACCTGGGTTCTAGTGAAAAAATAGTTAAAAGTCACTTAAATATTTCGAAATAAATTTATATTATTTTTCAATTCCCTGAGAGAAATTAACGGATTTTGGTATTGAAATTACGACCCACTTATTTGCTGATAACCACATTTGCTTTTATATCTGTTACCCTGTTTTCCGACATTAGTTACTGAACTTTGAACAAACGGTTTTAAAGTTAGACTCGCAGGCTACCTGACATTGTTACCCACTGATGGCAATTAAATGTTCGGTCCTGTCCAACTGTTTTTAAAAATGTGTAAGGCTTTTTATAGTCCAACATCATTCCTGTGTATGTGCTTAAAAAATTGTATCCTTTTAACAATAAAAACGTATCTCAAAATAGTGATTGATTTTTTATTAATTAAAAATTAATAGGAAATTTTTCAATTCCATATGCAACATCCACCCTCTTGAGAAATAGAATTTCAAACCCGCAAAAGAATTAGACATCTTTTGAAAATAAATACCATCTACAAAATAAATTCTATTAGTTTTAATTTTGTTAATAAAATATTTTGATTTTTTTGTTATAAAAAAAGAAAAATAATTTATTTCATTTTTCATTTGTTCTCAACAAAACAAACGTTGTAAAATTGAATATGTAAAAGCAAAATATCATTAAAATGAAAATGCAATAATTATAAAAAGAATATTATATATTTGTTTTAACAAAATTTAATGTTACTTGACTTAAAAATAATGAAAACCAAAAACAAAAAAAACAAGCAAAATGCCCTTCCCCCCAAAACAAACCTTGGAAAATTTTGAAACTAAAACAAAATCTTCGCCCTCATAAACTGATTGTAATCATATTATACATACTTTAAATTATATATAAATAATATTATAAAGTTATATATATTATACATACAAAATGAAAAACAAGAAGAAGAAAATGAATGAAATTTATAAACATATTAAAAAAAAATATTTACAATTATTTGTTACGCACATTGTTAAATTTGCTACTGTTGCTGACCAGTTTATAACAAAAACAAAATGAAAAACTAAAATCTAAAACAAATTGATAAAATTAAAAAAATATATAATATTAATAAAAAAACCCAAAAAACTATACATATACAGATTAATTAAAAAACAAAAATAATTATATGAAAAAGAAAAATTAAATAAATTAAAAATCTATGACATATTGAAATTATAAAAACAAACTATTATTATTAAATCAAAACCAAAAAAAAAAAAAAAATAAAAACAAATAAAGTCACAAACCAAATGCAAATACACATTTATTCAACAAAAACACTTTCTATACATACACATATATACAAGACAATTTTCTCAAAAATAAATCCCTAATATTAAATTTTTTTCGTAAATACATAACACGCATTATTAATAATGGAAAATTGATTCGCTTTTGTTTTTTTCTTTCTTTCCTTCATTCCAAACGACAACACAATAACGACTTTATAAAAATTCTAATTACCATTAACTATTTCATATCTATAAACATTATAACACACACAATAACAACAACAACTACCTACAAACTATCTTGAAAGCAAAACATAAATACATATATTTCCTAATAGCATAACATACTTACATACATGCATAAATACAAACAAAAAGTTTATTAAAACAAAATAGTTTTTTATTTATTTCTCTGAAGAAGTGTTTTTATTTGTTTCGACAATCCTGCCTGGGAGAAAAATAGAAAATACAATTTGGACAATTTCCCTTCCCAATTTTACTGGCCGGTTAAATAAATAAAATGATATATCTTTGTATACCTAAATTTTGGCAAGGAATCTCAGCTGACAATTTAATTTAAATTTTGAAAATTTGAGAACATTTCGAAGCCCTTAAGTATATCTATTATGGTATCAACGATTATTTGCTGTTAAATTATATAATTTATAAATATTTTGGGTATCTATCAGTTTCTTTCGATATTTTCCCATTTTCACCAAAAGAGTCAAATGTAGTTAAATCTACAAAAGCTTAAATTAATACTAGGCTCATTTTAGGCTAGAAGAAAAGAAACAATTTCAATACATTTAAAAATATACTTAATTTATATGTAGGGTATAAATGGCGTCCAACGGGTGGAAACAGAAGCGACTTAACCAACACTGGTTTGTGGTTTTGAGTATGAAAGACTTAAAACTTGAAATTATTGAGAACATGTATTACGTGTATGTAAGTTTTGAGTTCTGCAAGTTTTCATGAGTTCCGCAAGTTGCTTATACCATTAGCCATTTAACTTCAAAAGGTATCTATCATTTGATACGGCAAAAACGTACCTAATCGAAATAACGGTTTTCGACCCTGGGTCTCTTTGGACAAAATCCGTTTCAGGGCATTTGGAGTCGATCTAGGGTTGTCCGCCCGATAACTGTCGAAGGGAGTATCAGATTTGGTTCAAACTTGGTATATCGTAATATTATTGTCAAACTTAGATCGAGTTCGGCCCTCTGCTCCTGGTACCTCCCACACAAAAAGTTCAACATTGTCATAGAAAATAATTTACCTTATAGAACAAGAAAGATTCATCCAACTTGCACAAACTTTACAAATCCTAATATTTACTACTGCAACAAGTACCTCCCCCACAAGGGAACACATTTTTAAATAATCATAACTCTTATCAAATGAGAAATAAGAGTTCGATT